ACTACCTTCTTGGTTGGTCAGCCATATTTTCTCAAGGAGACAACGACATTGGTAGCATCAGTTTGGTAAAACATAAGATCAATCTTGCCGACGATGTTCCTTTGAAGCAACCCCACCGACGAATACCACCTGCAATGTATGGATAGGTTAAAGATCACCTCCAGGACTTGATGAAAGCTGGTTTTATAAGACGAAGTTGCAGTCCTTATGCGTCACCAATAGTTCGAGCCCGAAGAAAGACTCATCGCTTTGTATGTGCGTAGACTACCGGATGCTGAACAAGAAGACAGTTCGTGACGCCTATGCATTACCACGCATAGAGGAGATGTTGGACAACCTAGATGGATCGCCGTATTTCTCTGTAGTGGACATGAAGTCCGGTTCCCACCAAGTCATTATAGAGGAAGAAGATATACCAAAGACCGCTTTCACTGTGGGACCATTAGGATTTTACGAGTACAAAAGTCTTCCTTTTGGGCTTACAAATGCGCCATCATCTTACCAACGGCTTATGCAAGATTGCCTAGGAGACCTGATTTGGAAGATCTGTGCTATTTTCATAGACGATTTAATCATCTTCAGCAAGACCTATGAAGAACACATCGAGAGGTTATCCCAAGTATTTGGTAAGCTAGCGGAACATCGAATCAAGCTATCACCTAAGAAATGTGAATTTTTCAAAGAGAGGGTCAGGTATTTAGGTCACATCGTTTCAGAAGATGGTGTATGTACTGACCCGAAGAAGACAGACAAGGTAACTTCTTGGCCACCTCTAACCAATACAGATGAACTGAGACGTTTCCTCGGCTTTGTAGGATATTATAGGCGGTTCAAATAAAGAGAAGAGGGGGAGAGCGGCTAAGGACAAAGAAAACAATAGATGAGCATATGACCAGCTTAAAAGATCTCTTGTGGAATCACCAGTCCTGTCATATGCAGATTTTTCTCAACCATTTATTCTCCACACTGACGCTAGTGGGCATGGTTTAGGTGCTATACTTTACCACACGACACCGTTGGTTAGCTGCTTTAAACAACTACAACTTTACCATCCATTACCGCGCAGACAAGAGGAATATAGATGCAGATGCCCTGAGCAGAACGACACATGAAGATATTGAAGAAATAGACTCTGATGTTATTGGTGCTTTGAAGAACATTGACCTAGAAAATGGATTTATACAAACCATCAGCATGTCTCACCAAATCACCAAGCAACACCAGGTACAGCTGCATCTACAACACCTATTGTGAGAGACGACGAATGAGAGAAGAAACAGAAAAGATGATCAACTCCTAGCCCAGTTACGCCTTGACATTCAAGAAGGTAGACCAGCTAAGCGACGGAATTATTCACCTGAAGAATCTGCTCTATACAGTGATTTTGAACACTTCGTTCTACAGGCTGGTATATTGTATAGGCGTAGAGACTTTCCAGCTGGTGCTTCCAAAGGCTTACAGGAATCTGGCGATCTTTAATTGTCAGTGCATCTTTATCCTTCCTGGCACAAAGTTTAAAGGGGTGAATTAAGATGTAATACAAATGATAACAATGTGTATTCATTAAAAAAAATGCTGAAAACCAAAGCAGTTTCAAGGAAATTGTGATGCAGTATTTACATTTAATCCAAATGATGTTTATGATGGTACTCATACAAAAAGCCTGAAAGAAGTCCCTTTAAAAAAATGGAGGATATTTGAAAAATAAAAGTTTAATTATATGGACGTGGTGTGCTAAAACAAAGAGAGTTTTCAAAATTTGAAGTCTTGATGGTTGTAGTGTATATATTCAAATATTTCTGTGAGACTTTGTGATTTCCCATGTTTAATTTGTTTACTCTGTAGCAGTGCAGTGTTGAATTGTATATTTGCTTCATATTTACCAAAGTTACAAATTCCAAAGTCATTATTTTTGATTTTCATCCATTTTTTATTGTTCAGTATCATCTCAAGCACGTTTAAACACCAAAATAAAGGCACTAAAGGTGTTGTGAATGATTTTTTGAGGACCCCCAATTTCAGGTGTTGTGACAATTTTTGTCACTTTACCTTGCCCTTAATGATAAAGCAATTTAAAAAATAAAGCGAATGTAATTTCTAAAGCTGCTGTAATAACCAATAAGCTAAATATTACTGCTATTCGGAATCATCAACAATAGATTTTTTACGACTGTAATAGTTGATAATGTGTAGAGAATTGCACGTGCGATGGCTATTTATAGTATCATGGATTCTACTGCTGAGTATTATCATAGTGCGTAATAAGCAAGAAATCACTTCGAGATAAGCTACTGAAGCGTGTACATTCGCCGTGTCGAGACCTCCCTAATTCTTGTGATTTTAATGCATACATTGAAAGAGTAAAGCAGTATTTCATTGCTAATGATGTAGAGGGAGACAATGAAGCCAAAAGGGTTGATATCTTCATATCTCTCGTTGGTAACCAGACTTATTCCCTGCTAAAAGATCTTATTGCACCGGCAGCGCCATCCACCAGGACTTTTCAGGAATTAATAGACATCCTTAAAGGAAAACGCGATTTTTCGTACAATCAGGGGCCATAATTCAGGAAATTACGATTCGATATGCACGAATATTGAAAGCTACCAAGATCCTTGGGTTATAAACATGCATTTTAAGTTTCATCAAAATCGATTAAAATTGTTACCTTTACAGGGTCCACAACCTTGATTTTTACACTATTAGTGTACACGCAGCGGCAATTTTGTCCGGCAGTTATGGTCCGATTTTCACAAAATTCGAACTCAACCTTCATTACATTGTCACGATGATTCACGATCGTACATTCAGGGGCCATAATCCATGACGTTTCGATCCGATATATGCCAATATCGAAAGCAACCAAGATCTTTTGGAGATAAATCTACATTTCAAGTTTCGTCTAAATCGGATAAGAATTGTGACAATAGATATACATTGTCCGTCAATTTTACAGCACCCCTGAGAACATTTCTCGCCCCCCCCCCCCTCGTTGCTCTGAGCTAGTTACGGCCATGTTGCTGATACAGTTTGTCGCCAATAATAATTACACTGACTCAACACTGTTAGCGACTTTGGATTTTTACCTTCTTCCTACATTTCAGTGTAAACTAGTAAAATCGGTGCATTGTATTTTGGTGAAACTCAGTATATTATTAATGTGGTCATGCATTGTAGTCTCCCCTGTACATGCATAAACATAAACATCTGGATATTCTTCATATATCGCATTTAGAAGGTTTTTGGTAAAAGGATGGAAGGTGGCGAAACGCTAAATAGTGTTTGTCCTCTGATTAAACCAATGCTTCACATCAAATATGAAAAAGATCTGTTAACCAGCGGCTGCCAGACAGGATACACTTTTGCAAGAGATGGATAGAGAACAAGCTAAAAACAAAAGCGATTTTTCTTACAATCAGGGGCCATAATCCAGAAAGTTATGATCAGAAATGCGCAAATATCAAAAGGGACTGAGATATAAAGATACATTTTAGGTTTCATTAAAATCAGGAAATTAAACGAAACTTACCTTGGTTAAGTTGAAGTGTGATTCCAATTATTGGAGTAAAGAGGAATCACTATAGAGATTAGGTGAATAGGACTGCGCAGCCGTACAAGATCATACTTTAAATAAACATTTTCCGAAGTTTAGATAACAAATGGAATATATATAATGAAAAAACTGTTTTAGAGACCTAGAATGCCGGGAAAAGGGAGGGAGGCACCTAATCTCTATAGTGATTCCTCTTTACTCCAATAATTGGAATCACACTTCAACTTAACCAAGGTAAGTTTCGTTTAATTTCCTAATTATTTCTCGTAAAGTCTCACTTACGAGATTATGTGAATCTTTAAAGCAAAACAAAGGAAAATTTCAAACTTTTAATACAGAGATAGAAAACTCTTCATTATTAATAACATGTTTATCATAATATTTTCTGAAAGTTCCCACATTTGTCCAACCAGCTTTAGACATGATATCTTTAATTGGCACATTACCCAACTTCGCTCTAGAAACAACTGCAGAGCGCACACTATGAGCTGTAAAAACACTAGTATCAACACCTGCACTGTACATAACACATTTTAGCCACCTGGCAATAGTATCCCGCGAAACGCAATTATGAGGTTTTATATAACTTATAAACAGACGTCCATTCATATTTTCCCGTAACCTCTCAGTTCGTTCTAAATATTGTTTCATAACCGTATATACACAAAGTCTCCTATCTGGAGGATACGAGTTCAAAACAAACTCGGGCACATGAAAATTTGGCCTACTAACTTTCAATACGTCAGTAAATACGAACACAAAAGAAGATTTCCTCTTCAACATATTACACAATTTCAAACAATGAAGAGACTGTATTCTTGAAGCACAGATTAAAGCGATCAGCATCACCAATTTCAATGTTAAATTTTTTAGCGACAGTTCCGCAACAGGTGATAACTTCTGCAAATATTTTAAGACAGGAGCTAAATCCCAAATGCATGTATAACGCGCTTGAGTAGGTCTAAGATTAAATACTCCTCTTAGAAATCTTATAACCAGAGGATGACAGCCCACTGTAAATCCCTCAAATACAAGCCCTAACGATGAAAGCGCTCCTCTGGCTGTGTTGAGTGCACTATATCCAAGGCCAGCAGAAAAAAGAGACGCTAAAAAATTTATGACAATTTCTATAGATGGGCAAAGTGGATTAATCTGTTCTTGACGACAGTACTGAAACCATCTCTTATGGTAGACTTGATACTGTTTCTTGGTCCCTGACTTCCAAGATGCCATGATGACAGTTGTTGCCTGTTCAGAAAAACCTCGTTTTCCGAATTGATTCCGGATACATGACAACTCATTAAACTTAGATTTTTCCAAAGAGGGTGAGGCTGTCCGCTGGACACTTGAACAAGAAGATCCTTTTGAGCTGGAAGAATCACTGGAACATCTATTAACAACTCGAGTAACCTTGTGAACCAAGGTTGACTTGGCCATATCGGTGCTACGACAATACATCTCGCCTTGTCTTGACGTATCTTCTGAACACAACGGTTCAATAGGCTGAAAGGAGGATTTAAATAACAATAAAAATCATGCCATGAAAAAGTAAAAGCATTTATAAAAGATGCATGTGGATCAGGTTTCCATGAACAAAACGTTTTAATCTGACAGTTAAGTCTTGAGGCAAACAAGTCAATATCTGGTAAGCCCCATAAGCTAGCAATCCATGAGAAAATATCTGAATTTAACATCCATTCAGTTTGATCATCAAATTTCCTGGAAGCAATATCTGCAACGTTAGATTTACCAGGTATATGACTCGCTGTAAGCCAAACATTATTCTCGATGCACCACTGCCAAAGTTGTTTTGCGAGCATATCACAACATACTGAATTGATACCTCCCATATTGTTTATATAAGAAACAGCAGAAGTATTATCCAGTAATATTTTCACATGTTTACCATAAAATTTATTGTTGATATTAAAAGATCTCAAGCCATAAAATCCGGCAAGTAATTCAAGATAATTAATATGAAATTTTGATTCTGATGAATTCCATCTACCACCTATTTTAAAATTGTCACTTTCAGCACCCCAACCTAACATAGATGCATCTGTGGTAACAGTGAAATGAATGTCTCCGTGAGAAATAAGTCTATATTGACTATGTAAATTAGTGAGCCACCATTGAATTTCAGATTTCATATCCTCTGAAATGACTATTGTAGCATCAAAATTAAAGCCTGAATATTTTAGAGCCTTATCCTTATTTCTCTCTAAATTTCTATAATGCAAAGGCCCATACTCGACTGCTGAAAAAGAAGCAACCAAAGAACCTATGACCTTAGCAACATCCCTAATCTTTGCTGTAGAACATTTGAGAATCTGATTACAGGCTAGTAAAATACGAGACTTCCTCTCTTCTGTAAGAGTAACTGTCATTGTATGAGAATTTATAATGTTTCCTAAGAAAACTATTACTTTAGATGGTTTGAGAACAGATTTCTCAAAATTAACTGTAAATCCAAGACCTTCTACAAATGCAATAGTTGTAGAAATATTGTCCTCACATTCTTTAACTGTATCGCCTAGTAATAAAGAATCATCGATATAGGCAGTATTGACAAAGCCTAAACGGCGAAGAGTAGCAAACACAGGTTTCAGTAATTTAGTAAATATTCGAGGCGCACTTGCTAGCCCTTGAGCCATAGAAGTGTACATGTACAGTTTATCATTCCACATAAATGTAAGGAACTTTCGATGTTCCTCAGCAATAGATATTGAATAATATGCATTGGAGAAATCAATACTTCCGAAAAAACAATCTTGAGTTACTAAATTAACTGCCGTTTCGAAATTATCCATTTTGAAATGGTGATAAACAATAAATTTATTTAATTCTTTCAAGTTGAGAATCATACGAAATTTACCATTAGGTTTAGGTCTAACAAAAATTGTTGAGACAAACCCATCAAGAGAAAAGGGAACTTCCTGTAACACATTCATATCAAGGAGGTTTTGAACCTCAATAGTAATTACAGCCGATTGCTGGTCATTAAAAATTGGTTGATATGGCAAATTATATTGGATAGGAATCAACCCATCAACAAATTCCAAATGCCAATGTTTAACAATATCTAAAATTGTGTGATCTGAAGTTAAATTCTCCCATGCATATTCATATAAAGAGAGTCTGCCAGCTTGAAACTTACTGGCATTCATACTTGCCTCAGAAACTACTTCTGTTGAGCTTGTTGGGAGTGGGGTCGACCTTGACCACTCTTCTGGTAGTTTTTTGCGTCTGAATTGTATGATCCATAGGAACCTCCAGAACCACGACCACGAAAATGGCCTCTAAAAAATCTACCTCTAAATCCTCTACCACGGACAGACCTTCCACGTCCTCCGCGACCTAGGTAAGCACCTATCTTGTTACTAATACGAGAGCAATCAGAGATATCCTTAACTGTTTTAGATATGTCATCTCCAAATAGACAATCTGTATATTTGAAATTCTGACTGCATAAATGTAAATATTCCCCTCTCATATCGGGTTTCATCATATCTCGACGCACCAAACACAACTGTTTATTGGCATGTCCAAATAAAGCAAGGGACTCCATAGCCTGCTCCAATACGTTGTTAACATCCAGAGGTTGTCCACCACCAAGGACTTCTGTAACTTTAGCCAAAGAGACTGCTCCTTTAATGATGGAAGTTTGTGCGTTTTGTATACGTTTGTCCATCGTACGTGTAGACTGACTAAGAAAATCCCACACTAATTGGTTGGTTTTAACAGTCACCAAAGACTCACAGTTTTTAGGACGAGAGATAGATTTAATTAACTCATTATATCTGTCCTCCTCTACACCGTCTCTGAACCAGTTATCGATCAACGATGCCAAGTCTGGATTAATAGGTTTGTCACACAAATCTTTAACTCTCAATTTTTCCCCTGCCAGAGCATAAACAGAATTACTAAGTTCTGCGTCTGTTGATAATTTGGGCTTTTTTGTAGGCAAAACTTCTAGATCATCTTCATTATAATCTGTATCATCATTATAGCCTAATAACTCATTTTCATAATCGTCATCATTGACGTAGTAAAGATCATCAACTTTATTCGATAGTCTTTGAAACCGAGAATTCTGAGCCGATTGGGTCTCCTGAATGGATTTTAGAATCGTCAGGACATCATTATTACTTGACTCGGCAGACTGAACATCTTTCGATTTAGACGATGTCGAGGCAGCGAGAAAATTGGAAAAAACACTCGTCGAGCCGATGTTATTATTATTACCGGTACTACAACCAGGCAAAGAGTTAGCGGTTACATCGAACTGTTTAGGAGAATCGGGATTCAAACCTTTTTTCCTTCCGCTTTTATTAGATCCACTAACCGAGTTTCTAGACGGCCTTGTTTTTTCCTTCAACTGGTCCTGAGAAACCTGAATCTCGGCCATAGCAGCGACGTAAACAAATCAAGCACCTCGTGCGAAAAACAAAATGGCGGATAACCTCCAACCAAAAAAGTCCTGTGTAATAAGAGATCGTAAAAACCGACCGATCTAAAGTAACTAACCACGTTAGCCACACATCCACTGATAGAAAACCTAAAGTTTATTGACCACGTCAATAACTATCAGAAAAAGTACTGAAGTTAACAAGACCACGTCCTGTCACTTCGGCTAATAGCAGTACAATGATCTTGTACGGCTGCGCAGTCCTATTCACATAATCTCGTAAGTGAGACTTTACGAGAAATAATCAGATAAAGATAGGTTGTCGGGCAACGAAACATACGCCCACAGCAGCTAAATCTTCCGAGCAGTCAACAAAAGTTGTCGCATATTTTTACTTTTTTCGGTAATGAAACATTTATAATACATTAAAATCTGATTAAGAGTAACAACCCATTAAGTAATTATCAGAAAACCATTAGAATTTGTTTGGTTTTTATAAAGTTCTGCCTCATGCTAACGTTTAGTATACGAAACATTTAATATCATGGATTTAGCTGTTCAAGTTATCAAAATTCATTGAAAATCAATATACTTGTTTGTCTCAAGACCTTAAACTCTGTGTATCAATCTGAAGTCAATTGGATGATAACTTTAGTCTCTAGAACATCACAAGATTTTTCAAAGTGATCAAGGGCCATAACTTTGGCAGTAATTATCGGAAATCATTGAAAATCAATATGATTCTTTGTCTCGATGACCTCAAACACTGTGTATAAATTTAAAGTCAATCGGATATTAACTTCAGCTTCTAGAGCATTTACAAGATTTTTCAAAGTGATCAAGGGCCATAACTCTGGCAGTAATTATCGAAAATCGCTGAAAATGAATAGACTTCTTTGTCTCATGACTTTAAACACTGTGTATAAATTTAAAGTCAATCGGATATTAACTTTAGCCTCTAGAATGTTCACAAGATTTTTCAAAGTGATCAAGGGCCACAACTCTGGCAGTAAGTATTAGAAATCGCTAAAAATCAAAAGGCTTCTTCGTCTCATGACCTTAAACACTGTGTATAAATGTAAAGTCAATCGAATATTAACTTTAGCCTGTGGACGCCGGAACCACGGATGGAGGACGGACGGACCGACGACAATATACAGTATGGCCACATTTCAATGCGGGCATATAAAAACCGTTTAAATATATCACCATTCCACCATAATGAAGGTTGAATTCGAATTTCGTGAAATCGAAATGAAACTGCCCAACAAAATGGCCGCCTTTTATAAGCAAATTGTGTCAAAGTATGGAATACAAAGGTTGTGGAACCTATCTGATTTTGATGAAACTTAAAACATATCAAAATGGCCGCTCCTTGTACGCAAATTGTGTCAAAGTATGCAATACGAAGGTTGTCATCCTTCAAGAGGTCACAATTTTTATCCGATTCTTATGAAACTTAAAACATATCTTTATATCCAAAAGATCTCAGTCCCTTTTGATATTTGCGTATTTCAGACCATAACTTTCTGGATTATTGTCCCTGATTGTACAAAAAATCCTGTTTGTTTTTAGCTTGTTCTCTATCCATCTCTTGCGAAATGTGGGCGTATCCTGTCAGGCAGCCGCTGGTTTTAAATCAGATAATAATTATGACCTCTAGAGGGACAACAAGCTAAACAAGGCGATTTTTAGTACAATCAGGGGTCATAATTCAGGAAGTTACGATCCGATATATGTGCGAATATTGAAAGCAACAAAGATCTTTGATTAAAAAAACATGCATTTCAAGTTTCATCAAAGTTTGTTGAAAATTGTGAGCTATAGAGGGTCCAAAACCTTGATATACCATATTTTTACACTATTCGTGTACAAGCGGCGGCCATTTTTTCTGGCAATTTTGGTCTGATTTTCGCGAAATTCGGACTCAAACTTTATTACGGTGATACAGTGATATAATCAAACTTTTTTTTATATTTGGGATAAAAATTGTGACCTTCAGAGGGACCACAAGTTAAAAAAGGCGATTTTTCGTACAATCAGGGGCCATAATTCAGGAAGTTACAATCCGATATGCGTAAATATCGAAAGGAACCAAGATCTTTGGGTTATAACCATGCATTTCAAGTTTCATCAAAATCGGAAGAAAATTGTGATCTCTACTGGGTCAACAACCTTGATATACCATATTTTTACACAATTCACGTACAAATGGCGGCCATATTGTCCAGCAATTTTGGTCAGATTTTCACGAAATTCAAACTCAACCTTCATTACAGTGTAACGGTGATATAATTGAAGGTTTTGTAAATCGGATAATAATTGGGAGAGGGACCACAAGCTAAAAAAAAGGCGATTTTCCGTACAATCAGGGGCCATAATTCAGGAAGCTACGATCCGATATGGGCAAATTTCGAAAGGAACCAAGATCTTTTGGAGATAAACCTATAATTTCAAGTTTCGTCAAAATCGGATAAGAATTATGACCTGTAATGTGTCCACAAACAAATTGTGGACATCCGAACGGACAGGAGCGACGACAATATACTGTGGACGTATGTGGACTGTAACTATCATATTCCCAAAGGTTGAAGAATGCTGAATATCAAGAATGTTTGTCCTCTCATGAAGCCAAAATCCTTTAAAAACTGTAGGGTCGGGATAACTTATATTCATAGGTTTCGTTATTTAACAACCACACTGGGTCCCATCAAATTTCAAGAATAGAAATTGTTGCCCCTATCTGTTAACATGCCCATTGTTGAGAAACACAAATTTATTATTGATTGAAAAGCCCAGACAATTATATTATTTATTATAGTTTACAAAGTATGACGTTAGAATATTCATTATATTCAATGACTTCCTCTTCGCAGTAAATGCAGAACTTTTAAAGTTTTATGCATTTTCTTGACAGCACTGGCGACTCTTATCAAGAATACTTAATTAACTTAACAATACAGATCATATAATTTGTTGAAAGACTGAACATTCGAATCCATATATCCATGGGACATGAAATCTATAAGCCATTTTTCAAGATGGATTATACAGTTTACTGATATCTTCATACTGTATGTTGGTTATAGGTCGACCTTTCAATACACCCTGAAATAATACAAAATTTAAGATCAATAGGTTTATTTTCATATATTATCTTCATGCCCATCTATCTAATCTTGACACAATTACCACAACAGAAACTTGTAGTACTGCACAGATTTAAAATGAGGTAACACTGTCGATTTTCTTCTTTTATTACAATTTATCTGGTGGTATTTTGTTTCTAATGGTTTTTTAATTGATTTGTAGCTGAATTGGTCCACCAGTTTTACAATTTTATACAAAAGTGTGTAAAAGATAAGCAGCTTTAAATCATACTATGAATCAATTTCTATGTATACTTTTTAATTTTAAAACATGTATTACTTCTTTATAGATACTGATAAAGTAATTGATAATGGCTTACTAACACTATCTAATTTCACTGTACAAGAAAAGTTTTTTGTATCTACTTCTTCTAATGTGGCTGTTTGACCTCGGTAAGCTCCATTTACTATCATAACTGTTTTACCTAAAAAAAAAATAAAAAAAATTGTCATGTGCATAGTCAATAGTTTACTAATGGAACCCGTGACAAATCAGAGACAAAGAGAGCTTTAGGTTTAAACCTACAACCATCACCACCACCACTTGGTGATATGGAGTTCAGCGTAATGCCAAATATTCCAGTTCTTAAGCAATTCTTTTTAAAAAAGCTCATACGCGAGGAGTGATTCTATTTTTATTTTTGTTGTTTAAGGTTAAAATTTCAGGGTCTTCATTTATCCCATCATTTGTTATTTATACTGTTTATAGGAATTTACCGTGGCATGACAAAATTCATTAAATAAGTAGGCCTAAGCATTACTCAACAAGCATTAGGCCTAAAACTTTATTATTTTGTAGGGTTGCAATTGCTGTGTAATCCACTTAGCCGAGTCTGTAGTAGTATTGTTAACTTTTTAAAAATCAAGTGAAACATGAGTCTGATGTCCGCCCCTGTAGAATCCCACTTTTTAATAGAATCTGAAATGTATTCTGACCTTTTAAAGAAATGCATAAGACAGATGTAAATTTGTATAGTATGTCTAAAAAAGAGAAAGTTATTAGTGATATCAACTCCAGTATAATATGCAATTTTATATTTGATATGTTTCAAAAGAGGTCCTGGTTTTTAAAAGACATATCATATGACATTATTTTATATGATGTTTTATTTAATATTAATCTGTATTTTAGAAATATATAGATATATCTAGTGTCCCATAGGATGAGGAGGATTAAAGGTAAAAGTAGTGTTTTATCAGTTAATCATCTAAATTTTAATGTTGATTATACCACCATAACAACATTTCCTGATATTGCTAATTCCCTGGCCAGTACATTTTCATTCAATTCATCATCCAATTTCTCCTCTGATGCCTTTTGAGGCATTAAACAACAACAGGAGAAATGGCGAGATTTGTGATTTGCTATAACGAGCTCGGGACGCTGCATCTGTTCCAGATGAAATACACAATCAGATTTTAAAACATTTACCTTTTCGAACACCTTTAATCTTACTGGATCTTTTTAACCTGATTTGGGTTGATGGGAATTTCCCTCCCTCGTGGCATGAAGCTAATATAATTCCCATCTCTAAAGTGGGTAAAGATCATATGAATCCTACCAAAGAATTATTGCTATCAGACAATAACCTAATTACTGAAAATAGACTACTTTCAATTTATTTTATTTATCCTATCAAGGGTTCAAATTAGCCATACCAAGCTTACATAAACGACAATAAAAAAATATTGGGAAACCGCTACTCTGAATGGTGTCGACATGATCACCTTAAATGGGTAACTATTAACAATATTTTTGCCTCTTCTTTGAGCAGCATTCAGCAATTGACACATGTAATAAACATAAAAAACATAATATGGAACATAATTACTATTTTAAAAAGCAAGATTTCGTTCCATATTATGTTTTTGTGTTTAATATTTTTGAAATTGATCAATTATCTTGTGTTCAATGTAATGTTGATATTATACTTACCTATAGAGGGTATAACTGTTTCAACATGAGTTTGATCAACTTTTAATGTAACTCCACTATCTATTATCTGAACTAAACCAGCATATAAATCTTTTACTTCCTGAAAACAAAACATTTTTTAATAAAAATGGTATGGTAAAATGTTCTATCTAAACAAGTTTCTTATGGTCAGCAAAGCATTCAACATGATCTCAAAATTTATTTATGCCAACATTACCAACAGCTCAAACAAGCCAGGCTTGAGCAATCATCCTCAGCATTGCTACACGCCTGGCAAGCATGATTCAAGTCATACTTGCAGTCAAGATAGGATATCAGTATTAGTTTCCATACGTTAACTCGAGCCATATTTTATAACCTTCAAAGACTTTACTTATTTACAAAACACATAAAATGGCCATATAAAAGTGGACCACATAAAGCCAGATTGATAATTACACCACACTTCAGAGCAATTTCATCCAAAAATCTCTTAATTTCCCCAAACTCCTTATACAAACCAGCCAGCAGGGGTATGTAATAACGCCAGACAGATCCTTAATCCAGTTTTAAGTATAGGATACAATTTTTTTATATAAGATCAACAAAGCAGCTTTGTCTAAGAGCAGTCTAATTTAAGATCCTATTAAGAATATAATTTCCAATCAAAGGGTCATAGTTAGAACAACTTAAAAATGAGAAAGGTATTTTACATATCATGTAGTAATATCGTCGTTTCGACATTGTTTTTAAATTTATAGACAAGGAATAGCAATATAAGATGGTTTAAACAATATTTGTATCTTTACAAATTATTCTCTATTGTTTGTATATTAGCTATGGAGTCTATTTAAAATGCAAATTAATTGTACTTAAATCAACATAGTGAATAAATGACAGGTTTACACATAAAAAGAATTATAGAGCCAAAACATGTGTCAACACATGTTACCAGATTGCATGTGAGTGGAAATATACTAATTGCGTCATTTGGCTTAATTTAACCAATCAAATCAGTAATTGCACAGGTTCAGGACCATAAACAGGCTGTTCTGTGCATGATATCCAGGAGTCCTATAAAAGAAATCATAGTAAACTTTTAAGTCAGACTTTCATTAGATTCCGGAGAGTTTACCATCTGAGTTCCTAGATAGCAGCTTGGTTCCAGAAGGGAAAAGATGTAGCAGATTGTATCAGCAGACTCGCCCAACGAGTCTGGCTGAATGAGGTTTGAGAGAATGACTTTATTATTGTAATCTATACTATGCTTATATCCATGTATCCATGTCTACAAACTACTACTTCAAAGCAGTAGAACCTCCGAGAGCAAAGAAGATTTCAACTGGTTGTTGTATAGATTTGTCTGATCAAGGTATTGGGTGGCTTGTGAATCTATAAACTACAATCCAAAATCGGAGATCGTAACAAGATCTGTTATTGCTTCAAGCTTGTACGTGACAAGAGATGGGTAGTCTGCCCAACTTTTCTTCTAGATCCTCTTGTTTCCCCCCAATGCTAAATACCTTTTGTACAAACAACCTTATTCAAATATCAAGCCATTGCCATGCAAGGTACACCCACGTTTTGCATAGAAGATTGAGAATAGAAAAAATCAAAAGGGCTCATCCCCTTATTGTCTAAATGCTTCACATCAAATTAGACAAAAATCTATTAAAAAATATAGCCTGTATCATGTTCACAATGTTTTCGGAAAAAGAGGGTAATTCTGGAAAGGAATTTCATGGAGAGCTGAATATTGATAGGGTTTGTTTAAATTAGCATCTCATGACCTCAATGCTGTACACAGAATTCAAAATAAATCTGTAGCCTCTATTGTATTCACACTTGAAATGAAATGAAATGAATTGGGGTTTAACGTTCTACTGGTTTGAAAAAGATCAGTTAATATGCAAGAAACGCCCACATTTTGCAATGGATCGATGAAGAACAAGGAAAATCAATACAGCTCATTCTCCTCTCATTGTCCCAATGCTTCACATTAAATTAGAAAAAAAATCTGTTAAAGACTGTAGCCCTATCGCTTTCATAAGTATTTCGTGAATGAGGGTAACTTTGGAATATCAATAGGGTTCATCTTGTCATAACCCCAATAGTACACACCAAATTTCAAATAAAATCCATAAAAAAATGTAGACTCTATCACATTTGGAAGGTTTTTGGCAAAGGTGGTTAAACATGCATTATGCAAGAGCTATTACAGGTCTTTCTTTAGGCCTGAAATCTTATCTAAATTATTAATTAGACATTAATCAACTTATCCAGACCATAATGAACTCTCGATGTCAACATTAGCCTTCGATATTGACTGGATTAGAATCCTATATGTTGCTTAACACTCATTGATAATTAAATCAAACAATGGATAATCGAGACTATGCTTTTTATCGTACTGACTTTAGTAATGATGATCAAGGCTAGGCGGAAATTTCAATGGTTTAAACATACATTATGCAAGAGCTAAATCTGTCTATTGCAGGTCTTTCTTTAGGCATGAGATGTGAAAATGTGGGCATATTAAAATTTGCACCTCAGAATCAGCAATGTTTACAAACAAAAAGTTATTAAATCAAGGATGGCAACATATGTCAATAATATAATACCTTTACATAGCCTTTCTTTTTGTAGTATTTTTCACCTAATCTTTTCAAAATAATTTTAACAACAATATCTTTATGTAACCAGTAGTCTTTACGATTTTTCTTTTCTTTTGATTTTTCTTCAAACTGAAAAGAGCACAAAATAGTTATATTTGTCAGATGGACCAAACTTCATACCTTCATATCTTAAATCCCTGTTCAAGATTTAGGGCAGACCCCAGATTAAACGAAGGGGAATTAAGGGGAGATAGCAGGAGGAGTCCGGGACATATTGCTAAATGTTGATGCAGGTAAGTATAGATAGTGAAAAAATGTGTGATTTGATGATATATTTCGACTTAAAACATATTCAATTTAATTAATCTATCAAAAATATGCTTCAAATGCCCCTCAAAACTTGTATTCACGAAGAGATACCTCAAGCTATGTTTGTCACCTAACTTGATTGAGGGAGGGCCCATTTTCAGAATGTGTTTGTCATTACTTACTGTCCATTTACCATACATATTGAGGCCCAAGTAAATTCTTGAATTATTTCTTTTTCCAACATTTAATTGCAGAGTCTGTTATACATTTACACCACTCAATGTTGCCCAAACCGCCTTACCATTTGATCAAGAAATAACAACCGCTCCCTAAGTTAAGCTGGCAGACAATAAGCCGTCGGGTTGCCAGTTAGTGATACCCTAACATATTTGCCCAGTGCTTGCCCCATGGGTGTTTTTCAGGTAATCCAGTTTTTTTCTAGTAAGATTGGGTGTCTATACTTTCCATATATACCAAATTTGTCATACTTTTATTGGAAATAACCACCCGATAAATACTTTTGTGAGAATGTTTCTTTAATGAATGCCGACTATTAGCAACGATAATCAAGATAAGAAGTAGTCATATGGTACATTTTTGTTTTTTTAAATTTTGAAAATGATTGGGCATGTTCTTGGTCAGACATTTGCCAATCCACGTAGGACATGTCCAGCATATGCTGTCGAAACATCATCACATATTATATCCATATCATCAAAATCAAATAGAGAGTCACAGTGAGTAAGACACTGACTCACTAACCTGGAGGTTTCGGGATTGCTCCTGGTGTTAGCCGAAAAATTTCCTCAGAATTTTATGGCCTGGTTCCCCCTTGTCAGTAGTGCAGAAGGGAGGGCGTGACAAGGACAGTGTCTAGTCATTCAAATGTGTATAGTAAAACAGAGGTAGCATACTCTCATAGCACACTGTATGACATATGCCTGTCTTCATTAACCCAGTCAGTGCATAAAAATGGGACATTTCATTTCAAATCAAAGGATTCAATGATGATAATGTAAGTAACTTCATGGATGATTACCCAAATTTTGATACAGCATATGAGCATTATTATTATCTAATTAAAAATTTATAAAAATATCAGTCACTTACACAGCTTTTCAGAAGTGGGCTATAATAAGGCCATACAATAAAATAATATTATGGTTCTCAGGCATTCCTTACCAAAAATCTGATGCAGGAGAGAGGGGTTTTTTTTTTGTGTTTTTATTTTGTCAAAGGTATAAGCTAAATGACTTCTCATAAACATCACATTTTATGGTCCCACATTTAATGAGTTATCTCATCATGCTGTTTATGAGAATGTATGATTATGCTGTAACATTTATCAAGGTTATGTACTTCATAAATGGACCATTTCTGGATTTATTTAAAATTTATTATCGAGTTACTTCCTGTAACCGGGGTAAAACATTTTCGTGCAATAATTAATGAGAATGTTTTTATTTTTTGAAATAAAAACAGGTCATGCAGGATTATCTGAGAACCAGAATATTTTTTTTATATTGCCTAACAATAGATTTCTACCTCCATGATTTCATCCAATGCTGATTTTCTCTTAAGACCTGTTTTTGTTGCAGTTCTCTGTACTGGCACTTTAGATGGTAAAACTTTATCTGATATATCAGAGACTTTTTTAAATGCATTATCTGTCATCTTTGATCTGAAAAATCAAGACAGGATTAACAACAAAAACATGTAGCTCGTAATTAACTATGGTAAACGTGAAAAAGCTTATTCAATTATCCTTCATTGTGAACAACAATAAAACTCAATAACAAATAAAAGCTGTCCAGTAAACCACTTTTATCCAAAATCACATTTACTTGTGAAGTAAAAGGAATGCACACGCATATTTTAATGTGTTAGCAGTATAGATAAAGATAAAACTATCCTAAACTATAAACCAACCAGCAGCAAATTTTAACCGAAACAAATTAATCAAAATATCAAAACTGTGACGAAATTAAAACAAGTACAGAGAGAAAACAAAATTTTTCAAATCTAATTAAAATAAGTAAAGAGGTCAATTCTTGTTGGATTTGTCTTTTTAACATCAAAACTGTGACGAAATTAAAACAAGTACAGAGAGAAAACAAAATTTTTCAAATCTAATTAAAATAAGTAAAGAGGTCAATTCTTGTTGGATTTGTCTTTTTAACAGCAGATCTGTGTGTAATAAAACTGCCAAACTCAATTAATTTATTTGTGATCATCACCTTGCTATATTTGCTATAACAGACACATGACTGTATGAAAATTTTGATGCTGCATCAATATGTGAACTTGTGCCGAGCTGTTACTCGATTATTCAGGAATCACAAAAAAAAAGGGGCTGGCCCTTGTCCAATCCATAATATAAAAATGAAATGAAATGGGGTTTAATGTCCTACTGTTTTGTTCTGAACTAGGCCAATGAAGACGGGCATACAGTGTGCTATGAGGGAAATTTTGCCCGGACAGCAGCACTATGGCCTACTGTTATATTGAATTGCAAACATCAAGGGATCTTTTACGTGCACGCCAATGTGTACACGGGACCTTGGTTTTTTGTCACATCAGAAAGAATAGACATCTTTCCTAGTCAGGCCTTCCCTCCTGCATCACTGACAAGAGTGAATCACGCCCGAAAATCTGGAGCAATTTCCGAAGTGGGGGTATGACAATTGTTGACAAGTCCCAAAAACGAAGCATCAAATAGCGACGTGAGAGCGCATTGCTGGAGGCGCCGCAGCCGCCGGAAGCTTCCGGCGTGGAGTTTGGGGCCTGCCTAAGGGCCCCAAGAAATTTTTGAAACTTTGATATGATTTTTTGCATTTTAAGGAATCCAAAACCCTCCTAGCTGCTATCACGAAAGAAAAGTTGACCATGACTCATCACCACTCGTGTTATCCATGACGAGAACAATGCCAGTTATAATTATTATAAATGTAGATTGGGACGTAGATTAGTGGGACGAAATAACAATTTATTTATTTTTTTTTTTTTTGCAAAATAAAGTAGGGGGACTGAAGCCCCCGCAGCCCCCCCTGTTCCGCGGCCCCTGTATATTGATATTGTGATATTATCCCTTGTGTTACATGTATTAATATGATAATAATAAATAAAAATAACTGAAAATTTTAAAATTTTGCTTAGTCAGATATTATTATTTCAAATTATATTATCACCATTGGTGGGAAACGTAAGAACTGGTGAAATAGAGACGATTCTCGAGTCCCGGTGCCAAAATGCTCTAAAGTGATCGATGAGTATAATTGTAAGCATCTCTTACAAATAAAATTGAAATTTATATCATTCTATCAGGGATACAGATTCAAATTCAAATACCTTTATATGGTACCTGAAAATAACAATAGGCCTATTGCTCACGCAAAACATATATTTATAGAAAAATGGCAATCCTTGGATGAGATTTGACGCGTACATACTGAAAATATATTATGCAATACAGTGTGCAAATACTTTATAGACTAAAGTCACCAAAAATAAATTATGATCTTAGTAAATCATCTCAAATCTGGGCTAATCTATTATGTAAAGTTGTTGTATATACCGGTACCGGTAATTGTTTTTACAGTAGGCCTATCTGAGAAATAAAATTGTTACATGTCTTATTTATCACACATTTTTGGCAGATAAAATATTCCAGTTGGCGGAAAAGAAATATGAACATTTTTTATTTAGATAAAATTATCATCCATTTTGGCTGAAAAAAAATTGAAAGCCAGCGAGAGCACTTGCATTGAGTAGTCTAAGATACACACTAACTATTCAGCACCAATTGTATTAAGACTCTGCCTCTGCATACTTGTTCCATGTGTAATATAATCCAGAGGACTCATAACAGTCGACCGTCAGTTACTTTTCACATTCGAATTGTTGTATTTTAAAACAGGAAGATACAATCTGATATGCACGAATATTGAAAGGAACCAATATCTTTGGGTTATAAACAAACTTTTCAAGTTCCATTAACACTGGATAAAAATTGTGACCTCTAGACACATGATTTTCGTACAATCAGGGGCCATAATCTATGAAGCTACTGTCCGAAACATGCCAACTTCGAAAGGAACCAAGATCTTTGGGAGATAAACCAATATTTCACGTTTTTATCAAATTCGATAAAAACAGTGACCCGAGAGTGTCCACAAATTGTGGACGACAATATACGTCCACATGAAAATATGGGCGTATAAAAAGCCATTTTTCGTACAATCAGAGGCTATAACCCAGGATGTTATGGTCCGAAATGATTCAATATCGAAAGGAACCAAGATCTTTGGGATCACAATTTGAAAAATGTTCATTAAAAACTGTAGCTTATATCTCATTCAAAGGTTCTCTAGAAAGGACAGGGATGTAACTCAGGGATGCTGGTTATCTATTGGATTCATCCTCTCATGATCCAAGTATATAATTATATGAGATATCTTTGAAAATATATATTGTGTTAAGTTTTTTTATACCTCAAAATCTGCACACTAGTGAAATGACACTAAGTGTCCGTCGCACTTTCTTCGGTCTTACTACAGAATTGAAATTGAAAAAATGCTAGTAGATCGGTAAGATACAAATTCTATGATTGCTCACTACTCTGGAAAGATTGCTGTAACATTTTCTGTTACTGTGAAAAGCAAAACTCTCGTCAATCACATTTTTCAAGAGATGGATAGAGAACAAGCTTAAAAAAAGCGATTTTTCATACAATCAGGGGCCATAATCCAGGAAGTTATGGTCTGAAATGTGCAACTGAGAGTGAGATATTTGGGATATAAAGATATATTTTAAGTTTCATCAAAATCAGATAAAAATTTTGACTTCTAGATTGTCCACAACCTTGGTATTACATACTTTTACACTAATTGCGTACAAGGAGTGGTCATTTTGTCAGGCAGTATTTCCTGAATTTTGAATTCAACCGTGGCTAAATTGGTAAGATGCTGGCTCGCTAGCCTGGAGGTCGGGTGTTTGATCCTTGCATTGGCCGAGAAAGTTCATCCCGATTTTCCGGCGTGGTTTCCCCTTGTCAGTGATGCAGGACGGAGGGCCCGACAAGGACAGCTGTCTAGTTGTTCAGATGGGACGAAAAACCGAGGTCCCATGTACACATTGGCGTGCAGGTAAAAGATCCCTTGGCAGTTGGAATTCGATATAAGAGTAGGCCGTAGCGCAAAATTTCCCTCATAGCAGAACAGTAGGACGTTAAACCCCATTTCATTTCATTTCAACCGTCATTAGGGTGTAACGGTGATACATTTAAACTTTTTTTAAAATCGGATAAAAATTGTGACCTTTAGAGGGTCAAGAAGCTAAAAACGTGATTTTTCGTACAATCTAGAGGGTCCAGAAGCTAACAACGTGATTTTTGTACAATTAGGGGCCATAATCCATAAGTTATGGTCCGATACATGCCAATATCGAAAGGGGCCATAATTCAGGAAGTTACAATCTGATATGAGCAAATATCGAAAAGAACCAAGATCTTTGGGTTATAAACATGTATTTCAAGTTTTATCAAAATCAAATTAAAATTGTGACCTCCACAGAGTCCAGGACCTTGATATACCATATTTTAACACTATTCATGTACAAGCGGTGACCATTTTGTCCGGCACTTTTGGTCCGATTTTCACAAAATTCGAACTCAACCTTCATTACGGTGTAACGGTGATAAACTAAAACGTTTTTTTTTTTAAATCAGATAAAAAGTGTGACCTCTGGAGGGACCACAAGTCAAAAACACGATTTTTCGTACAATCAGGGGCCATAATTCAGGAAGTTACGATCCAATATGCGCAAATATCGAAAGGAACCAAATCTTTGGGTTATAAACATGCATTTCAAGTATCATCAAAATTGGATCAAAATTGTGATCTCTAGAGTGTCCACAAGCTAAAAACGTGATTTTTCGTACAATCAGGGGCCATAATCCATAAAGTTACGGTTCGATACATGCCAATATCGAAAGGAACCAAGATCTTAGGGAGATAAACCTATATTTCACGTTTCGTTGAAATCGGATACAAATTGTGACCTGTAGAGTGTCCACAAACAAATTGTGGATGGACGGACGGGGCGACGGCATAATATGTCCACATGAAAATGTGGGCGAATACAAATAGACCAATTTTGTGAGTATAACTAGTAGTATTGGCTTTCAGACCTATTGAAGCTTTAATGACTTGAACTGTAAATATAAATTGACTTACGTGCTGGAAATTTCTGACTTTTTTATACTTTGTGGCATTAAAAACACAACTGAAAATAAATTTGTAGAAGCAGATTTAATCATCAAGGAACATATTTTCAGAAAGTGCTCATCAGAACAAGAGACACAGATATGGGGTTTAACATAGCAGCTTTCATGGTATGGAGGCGACATGACGTCATTTTGGTGAAGCCATCAACGCCATATTGGTTAACCCCCAAACAGCTATATACCGGACTACTCTAGGTGTACGTCTAATGTGAAAAAAAGAAGAAATGTTATATGTTTTTGCTAGTCAACAAAATAAAAGGTCCAAAATCACATGGCTCTTTGGTGTGAAGAAATTCTGCATTGTGGGATTGTTTTAGGTTTATTGATTTAATTAATTTTTCGGGAACTGTTATCTTTAAATTGACTTATGGATAAACAAAAAAAACCCCAAAAAATTAAAATTAGTGTAATAAATAGTTTCTAGCGGCACTCTAAAACTATAGTCACACTGCTGTAGGAGCGATCATTTTTTCATGCCTCATCAGTATTTGCTTTATCAATTTTTCGGGACGTAAATTTCTGTGAATGCAACTGATTGAGCTTAGATGGACATGGAGTTGAATTTATTTTGCGAAACCAAAGGTCGGTGCAATCAAGTACTGAATTAGCACTCACGAGAAAAGAGATCCGAAGAAATTGCAACTTTGGACTACCGACATTACCAGCCGCGGCCCTGAGAAGTCAAATTGGGAATTTTATCATCCGTTTCATTTCTGTCTCCTCTCCCGAAAAAAATGAGAATTTAGGTGGTCACATCATAGTGTGATTTCGGTTCCAAAACCACAAAAGTAATGCCATATTTTGAATATTTTTTAGTTGCTGCACTAACGGACCGGAATGACAGGAAAACTCCCTCGTAGCCGTCTAAATTTCTCATAGTCTGGAAGCCTTGCTTCGTGCCTTCGGTGAATTTGTTCGGTTATTTCATTTCTGCACCCTCTGAAGCTTACCGGGCTGAACACCTAGGTCTAGATTCCAGAAATATTTGCAAATCATATATTTTTATACAGGAAAACATTACACAGAATCATTGCAACACAACATGAAGACTAAAAGTTGGCAGATACAAAACTTCTTCTATTGACAGGACATTAATTGACGTAGTTTGATGAAATAATAATGTTTTATTTGGGGTTTTTTATAAGTCAAATTTAATAATTGATTTCGATTTGTGTTACATCCATAAAGCTTTGTCTTGTTTATATTTCATTTGAACCGAAGTCATGACATTTTAATATGTATCTAATATATATTTTAATCCTGGCAGTATCGATGCGTGATTTGCATTTTTAGGAAGATATCAAATTTCTCACGGCTGAATCCACCCCAATATGTAGGCCTACTGTATTCAGAATAATTATTTGACATTTAATTAAGACAACAAAATCGAAATACAAACGCTTGATAATATCTTGGCTTGAATTCAGTCGGATTAAAAACTGGTCCATCAATTTGGTTCACGGCAAATAAAGATAGCGACTACCTTGTTATAGGGTGTCGCATAGATTGGTGAAATTGAGTCTTTTTTGGACAGGTATTCGTATTAAAGATTCCATGTTAACAATATTATAGTTTGCAGAGGATTAATGTAGCACAAGAATCACACAAGGTCTTTAATTGAAATAAATGCAATATTCTATAATCCGTTGTACTCTGCTTGAGATGATATTTTCAATTCTATAACTCTATGGAAATTAGGGCCTACATGATTTATTATAATTTAAATAATTTATTATTTATATCTGTAAGTGTGTTGCTTTCACTTAAAACAAATTTCCTCTGGGATAATATTATCTGATTCCTGTTTTAAATAAAAAGTTTTATTCACTGCACACAACCAATTAATTTTAATGTTTTGGGTTAACTAATATGGTGTCACTGGCTTCAATTGTCACAACGGTAAAACAATGTCATGCCCTCTCCAGTTCATTAAAGCTTCTTGGGTGTAACATACTCAACACAAACTTGCCCATAGGGCTATTTTGTAGTGGGAGAAAACTGGAAAACACGGACAAAACCCATGAGGTTGGACAGATAAGCCTACTCCTTGTCACAAACAAGCTGGGAATCGAAACCACATCAGTTGACTTAATGACAGGCCTATAGATGATCTACAGCGCATAGTCTATCATTTGGTTGGCTAAATTGACACTGCAAGTAATTACCCAAATTGTGATTTAATAAAAATAAATTGTGACAGCTAGTGACATTGTTTTAGTATTTGAATTCAGATATGAACATGTGTCACATTACACTTCCTGCTCAGGTCTGTCTTGTTCATTGTACATGAAATACTTAATAAATGAGATTATATTCTGGAAGTATCCACTAGTTTGTTACAAACTTGACTTAATGAAATAACATTATTTCATTGATAAATGGGTGCTCATAAAATTATTACATCTTTTTGGTGAACCTAAAAATCTATAATAATGATCATGGAAATTATACAAAAAGTTGGATGAATGCAAATCTTGTTTTGTTTTTTTTTACGTTTCTGCATCCTAATGATCATACCACACCTTTTTCATCTTCATCTTGTCTATTTAAATCTGTAAATTCTGTTTCAGTTTTACGTTTTTCGTTCAGTGCTGCTTTTTCTATCTGTTTCTGTATGAATTTAGACGTTCTCTCTTCATCATCTAAATCTATTTTTTCTTTGGCTTTAATCGCTTCTTGTTTTTTTATTGTTTCCGGGTCGCGATCGATATAGGAAATAAACCAACCTTTCTCTGTTAGATCAACTACACATTTACCTTAAAAATAGATTAATATCAATAACAATCAAGATTAATAGCCAGCGGTTGGCAGGCAAGATATGACCACATATTGCAAGAGATGGACGGGGAACAGGGAAAACCGATAGGACTCTCATTGTCTCAATGTTTCACATCGAATGTGAAAAATTAGTCAAAATACTTTAGTATGTCATACACATGCTGGCAAAGGCTCAGTTTAAAAAATAGTGTCCTTATTGGTCAAGGCTATTGCATTGTTTTAGGGAACCAGCCCAAATTGGGGACAATGAACAGTGATCAAAATATGCATTGTTTAAACATGCATTATGCAAGAGCAAAATCTGCTTATTACATGTCTTTCTTTAGGCCTGAAATGTTATCTAAATTATCAATTAGACATTAATTAACTTATCCAGACCATAATAAACTCTCGATGTCAAGGCTAGCCTTCGATGTTGGCTGGATTAGATTCCTATATGCCGCTAACGGCTATTGATAATTAAATCAATAAAAGCGGATAATTGAGACTATGCTGTTTATATTAATGATTTTAGTCAATCAGGGTCATAATCCAGGTATTTACGGTCAGATATGCTCGAAAATCGATAAGAACCAAGACCATAGCGTTATATTCATACATTTCAAGTTTGATCAAATATGGATAAAAATTGTGACTTCTAAAGGGTCCACAACCTTGGTATTACATACTTTTACACTATTTGCGAACGTGGAGCGGTCAATTTGCCCAGCAATTTCGGTCAGATTTTTACGAAATTTGAATTCAAACTTCATTGAGGTGTATCGATGATATATTGATACGGTTTTTAAAATTGAATACAAATTGTGACTTCTAGAGCTTCCACAAGTAAAAAACATGATTTTTCAAACAATCAGGGGCCATAATCAAAATGTTATGTTAAACATGGCCAACTGAGGCAGATGTGTCGAGGACGAGAGTTAATCTCCTTCAGTTTTAGCAGTGTTTTATTTTAGATGATCTACCAAGATTTTTTTATCTAAACTGAGTATGTACTAAGTAACTTTTAAAGTGTTAATTATGACTAAAATATGCAAAAAGAGAGATATTTCGTTGAAATATATCATCGTCTGTAGTATTTAGGAATACAGTTCACCCGAGTTCACTCAAGCATTTTTACACATGGTTAGATTGGTGTACAAAATACAAATACCGAAATCAAGACTGGTAAATCGATCCAGAAGAGAGATGGCCTCAAATTCGAATTCAAATGAAAATGATTCAATTAGTATAAATGATCTTCTTGATAATGTTCTAAAAGATGATGGGTCGTTAGCAGTCCATGCGAAAGCCGTCGGACCGCCGGTCATTACCGATAAAATAGCTCTCGGTCCGGTATTTTCATCATGAATACCGGCCCAGTTGTCCGGAAAGATTCTGGACCCGGTTTACTGACTGCTGGTTGTATTAAATCATCGCCGTATTGGCACTGACTGACGGCACTTCGTGCACGGACTGTTGAATTCTCGTTTAATTTATTGTGTTAATTTCACTATTGTTTAAAATGTAAACAAAATCTTATCTCGAGTACGTACAGTGTAGCAGTCGCTACCGTGTGCAACGATAGTCGCGGGACACGATAGGCCTCGGTGTAATTTTACATGCAAAATTAACGGTTATATTTGTCATAAACAATCGATGTCAAAACGATATACTGCCACGATGTTATGAATGTTGAATATTTTCGTTAATAATACGGACGCGTTAGGTAAAGTTGTATAGTAAGAACACGCGTGTTCACATATTCTGCACGATATATGCGGTTACATTTCCAACCAGTCATGTAAAGCTGCATGTCTACTACATTTTGAATGTCTACTACATTAAGACTATACATGTTTAGAGTGCATAGTTAAGAATTACTCTCGAATCACGGCAAAGATAGACTTTAAAATTGCAAACTATAACTGTATTTAGGTTACCGGTCTTCCAAATAGAAATAAGACAAATAGAACTTGCAACGGGAGTCGAAAGCGATTTCAAATCAGACATAAGAAGCTCATACTAACCGCAAAAATGAAATGAACGCGACACAAGTCTCCGATGTCAGAGAATATTAGTAAAGTATAACCGCTATCAAATCCACACGAAAATCCAAGGCATTCATTTTATTTTAGAAAAGAATAACTGTAGGCTCGATAGAAGAGCCTATTCTACATGAACCCCAAATCAATGGTAACTGTCAACTTGTCTGTTGTCATGCTCGTGCAGATTTGTTTGAATAACAGAAATGTCCCGTGAATCAAAGATCAAAGAATAAAATCGCACGTAGCCACTCTTTGTTGTTTTTATGCGAATTCAATTTATCTAAAAGGGGCTCCGGCGCTATTTAAGGAATTATTTTTGACCCAATACTAACCATCGCCAATTTTTTAATCATGGGATAAAGTCAATTAACAAACAATACAGGTCTACTTTATTACAAAAACATTGGTGAACTTACCATTTTGTCTAAAATCATAACGCTAATCAACAAACAATACTATTGTTCTTTATTACAAAAACATCGGTGAACTATATTGTTTTTGTACATATTGTATTTATTTATTTGTTTGTACTATATGTTATACCTGATGAGTCTTTGGCTGAAAGGAATAAAGAATTGGAACTCGAACTAATCGCTGTCGGGATGGCGAACCAAGCTAGTTGATTATTAGGTAAATAAAACAATATAAACAACCAATGAGTAAAACTGATCTATTCTAATCAATTAAATAATATACAAGTCAAGTACCGGTATTACCTTAACCGTGGACGGGTTAACGGACACTCAACTTACAAATATTAAATCATCGCCGTATTGGCACTGACTGACGGCACTTCGTGCACGGACTGTTGAATTCTCGTTTAATTTATTGTGTTAATTTCACTATTGTTTAAAATGTAAACAAAATATTATCTCGAGTACGTAATACCGTATATCGAGCTAGTCTAGTAAGTAGTAGGCTAGGTTAATCCAGACTAAAACGAAAGTCCTTTTATTGTATTAATAACATTGGCTTCTGGTAGACTCGATTGTCATCTAAGGGATTATATTTTCTTTGCGCGGTCTATTTATTGTTATCATTAACACAAAATGACAATTAAGGAAGTGTGCGAAAAAGTCTTTATACAATAGATAATCTTTGTAATAAAGTAAAGTATTTTCCCCCTTATATATACTGTTTGTTGTTTTTCGAGTTTTAGGCCATTATTACTTATTTTATGCATATTTTTGGTATGAACTTTTTTGGACCAGTAAAATCTCATTCGGTCCAGTAATAGTTGGAATAATACCTGCCCAAATGTCCAGTAAAAAAAATATCATTTCGCATAGACTGGTCGTTAGGTCATTTATTGGTGAATTGTTATAAACATGTGTGATTAGAAACAGAACCTGCATTGTCTTAAATTTATCGGATATATTGAAATAAAAACTGGTTCAAATAAATATAGACCACAACTTAAAAAATATTAATCAAGTTAGTCCTACATTTATAAACTGATTATTTTATCCTACGCCTAATTAATATTATTGGCCAATTTTTCTGGGCATACACCGAATAGGATAACAGTCCCGAAACTCAATAATAGATTGCTAATGTGGACTTCAAAAACATTCGTCTTATATAGCGCTTTGACTTATATATATGGATGGAGGTTGGAAAAACAGTAAAATATGACGATTCGACTTATACTTCACATAAACTTATACCTTGTAAAATACGGTAAATAATGAATTATTAAATGTCGATTGGACAAAGAATGTCGAAGGAATGCCTAAAAAAAACATTTCTGGATAGCCTGGAACAGGGTCAAATTTTTGGTATTTGAAAATGTCATAATTTCAAATTTCCACTTCAACGTTTTTCGTGCCAACAAAGTTGTTTACAAGTGAAAAATTTGCATTGTCGGCTTGGAAATAATCGAAATAGGCTGTCGTTTCGTGAATTCATCTCCTATTTTCGAAATTGTAACATTTCTGGATAGCCTGGCTTCGGGTCGAATTTTTGGTACATGAAAATTTCAATTTTCCACTTTGAAGTTTTTTGTCCTGACAAAGTTGTTTACAGGGCATTTTTTCCTTTAAATTTTCAAAAACTTTGAAATCAGGTCTAATATTGATGGCAACCATTTAAGTAGGTCATTTGGTGCCTATTTTTAAAGTTTTATCAAAATCGGTTGGTAACCAAAGATTCTTAGCAACTTTTAAAATGTTAAAACTCAGAAATTTTGCCCGGTTGAAATGTTTTCTGTTATAACTTAGTTCATAATTCTTTTGTGCTTAAGATTACTTATACTTATGTTGATTTTCCAACACAGGTCCTGTTAGGTCCTCTTCGTCGGACTCCTCACTGTTTAACTGAATTCTGCTATTTGTATGACTGCCGGTTTAGGTCTTAATTTCAGCATTATAATCATATAACGTATCTTGTGTACTCCAATATTTGTCCAGTCTATTTTTAATGGAGTTCAATGACTTAGCACACACAACTTCTTCTGGAAGACTATTCCACAGGTTTGCTGATCTCACACTGAAACTGTACTTCCTGATATTCGATTTCGTTCTCTGTACAAGTAGTTTCTTTGAGTTCCCCCTTCCTTGATCTCTGTTTAAATGGTCTTTACGCAATTTGATAAAATTAGAAGTATGAGGGTCATATTTGCCACTTAGAATCTTATATATTTCGATCATATCTTCTCGATGTAGCTTTAATCTTCTTAGTCGTTCTTCATATGTGAGATTTGACAATCCTGGGATCTGTTTTGTTGCCCTCCTCTGAACTCCCTCTATCATATCTATATGTTTACACTTATATGGGAACCATACAGAACTGGCATAGTCAAGGTGAGTCCTTACTAGGGTCTTGTAGAGAGGTATGAATGACTTTTCATCTAAATGTTGAAATATTCTTCTTCATAGTGCGAACATCGAGTTAGCTTTTTTCACCTTTATGCTAATGTGTCTATCGAAGCTCAGCTGGTCATCTATGGTCACTCCTATATCCTTCTCGTCTCGTATGTTGTCTAGTGTGCGACCTAGTAGTTCATATCTGAAATCTGGTTCCGGATCTTTCTTACCAATATGCATGTGTTTGCACTTCTCCGGATGAAATCGCAAGAGCCAGGTATTACTCCAGTCCGTTAGTTTCTGCAAATGTCTTTATCCTTTCTTTCCTGTATGATGTGAAATCAAACATGATCGGTCCTAATACTGAGCCCTAAAATCAATAACATCTGATGGGAAGTGATGCCTGGTTGTTATGACTTAGCCATTTTTTGGCCGATTTAATCTGTGGCATCTATGAGGAAATTTTGCCCGGTTGAAGTGTTTCTCGTTATAACTCAGTGACATTTTAGTCGATCTTAGCAATTTATTTTTCTTTTTCACATTCTTGACAAAATCCATGACCTGTGACCATGAATATGAAAGCTTTCATATCTGCCTAGCAGATCTAGTTATTATTATTATTATTATTATTAGGACAATTAAATGTGTGCTTTTCAGTAAATTTGTGCAACTTTGTACAACCTTAAGTACTTTTTCCACAAAAGTGTTGTGTAGTGTTGAAAATTTCAAGCTGAAAACATGTTGATGTTTACATTATATTTTGGGGGTCTTTTTACGTGAGGCAATTACAAATAGTACATTTATTAAATGTGGATATGAAACAAAAACAATACGGTACCTTCTCTACCAAGCCATTTTACAAAATCTGTCAATGTTACCCACTGTGTGGAATTCATGCGGACATGATTTCGGTTAGAAATATATTCTTGATAGACAATATTAGCATGAATACGCTTAGTACCACATCTTCTTCTCAGTACTTCTAAAAATTCTTCTGCAAAATCGCTGAAAACATAAGTATAGAACATTTTCATAAATATGCCTACCACTTGCTGGTAAACAATTTCAGGGTTATAATTTCTGAAACTTTTCATTAACCTGAAAAAATGTCCCATTTTGTACTGGATAATGACAAGCCTTGGTTGCCAGGATTAGTAACAAGCGGTTACCAAGCAAGATACACCCACATTTTGAAATAGATGGACGGGGAATTGGAAAATAGAGCTCATCCTCTCATTCAATCTGATTAAAACACAGATCCTATTTCTTTCGTTTTTTATAGTTCAAAATTTCGTTTTACTTGTCTTCACAACACTGCATGTAGGATCTGGAAGAGTTGTTATATAACAGGCGTTCTGGTTGATGTGAGGAATTAGCAAATGAAATGGTCTGTTACGGCGAGTTCTTGGAGTGCTCTGCATGGAACTGTGGGTAAACCACTATAAACATCAACGCTGATTCATTAATCAATGTTTTATGTCAGAGGGTCAAAAGTCGCTTGTATGACCACTGACACGACCTCCCATTACAACTGGTCAGATCTTCATGTATGTAGGCCATCAAAAGTACAAAAAAACAAAACGTAATATAGATCTGCATTTTAATCAGATTGCCTCTCATTGTTCACATCAAATTAGGAATAAATCTGTCAAAAACTGTAGCCTCTTTCGCAGAAACAAGGTTTGTCCTCTCATGACCCTGATGCTACACACAAAATTTGAAATAAATCTGTTAAAAACTGTAGCCTTTATCGCATTCAGAACATTTTTGGCAAAGTGGGGTAACTCCAGAACAAAGGGTTGGGGAACGTTGAATATTGATATGGTTCATTTTCACATGAACTCAATGCTTTACACCAAATCTAAAAAAAGATTGGGTAAAAATTGTGGCCACCAAAACACATTCACAAAGTTTTCATGTAAGGGCCCATAAGTAGGGTGACCCACCATAAATAAATATCTCCATATATCTCGACAATTTCGCCACAATATTTATATATATGCCAAGCCTCAAATCAGTTTCACACAATTATAGTCACTAAATAAACGATCATGTTGTACTTAATAAGCTATGACCATTAATCATCTATAAATAATAGACTGAAAACTGGTTCCATGTGTCGTCCATAACATCCAGACACTTTTGAGTGAAAGATAGGTTACGTGCCCTTGTTTTGAAATTAGTCTCGCTGAACCAGTCTATCGACCATTCTAGGGCTGATTGACAGGTCGGGATAATCAAGACTACTTTTTTACGAAACATAACAGAAAGCTAGAACAAGAAATTGAAGTTAGAAATGAGCACGTTAGCTAGCTCAACAATTGTTTTAAGAAGCTTGTAAAAGTAAAATGAAACTACTGCTAGTATCATGTTCCTGTCTAACCCAAGTGTTTCTGAGATATTATTTGTACTAAACCAAAAGATGCCGCTCTTAACGGTACAGTTAATGATAAAGCGATTTAAAAAATGAAACGAACGTAATTTCTAAATCTGCTGTAATAACCAAGAAGCTTAATTTTACTGCTATTCAAAATCGTCAACAATAATTTTTTTACGGCTGTAATAGTTGATAGATTTGTAGAGAATTGCACGTGCCATGGCTATTTATAGTATCATACTGTCAGAAAGTTGGCCTCGACACGGCGAATGTGCACGCTTCAGTGATAGTCTCGAACTATCAGCGGTTGACTGTATTTCTGTAGGTGCGTGGGTCACCCTAGCATAAGTCTAGACAAAAGGTCGCAGAACACTGATAATCGATAAGGTTCGTTGTCTCATGTATGACCCCCAATGCCTCTACCCAAATTTGAAAAAATCTGTTAAAAAATATAGTCTTGATAAGGTTTTCGGAAAAGGGGAATTACTCTGGATCAGAAGGTCTGATGCACACCAAAATCAAAGTGATATGTTAAGTTCCATCATAATCGGACAAAAAATGTGCACTTTGTACACATTTTACATTTTGTGTAAAAGGCAGGGAGCATATAACTCCAACACAAAAGGTCTGATGTACACAAAAATCAAACTGATTAAAAAACACATCCAAATTGGAAAAAAAATGTGACCCCTAATAAGGGTCCACAACATAATGTATTATGGTCTGAGATGCGGCAATATTGGAAGGAGACAAAATCTTTTAGATATAAACATACAATATCGAAAAGAACCAAGATCTTTGGGATATAAACATGTATTTTAAGTTTCGTCAAATTTGGGTAAAATTTATGATCTGTAATGTGTCCACAAGCAAATGTAAATGGACAGACAAATGAACGGACAGGGTCGACGGCATAATACATCCACACGAGAATGTAGGCGAATAAATACAAAAAGATGACAGACACTCATTTTTTTCTGACTGTAACTTTGGGAAGGATAAAGAATAAGCTTATACTAGATTTCAATAACAATAAGTTCATCTTGATTTAATTCAATATTAACAATTACAATACAACATCTTAGGGTATAACATGCATGTGGTCATTGGATTTAAAAATGAATATTAAAAGAATGTCTTTTTAGACTTACTTTGAAAAAGAATCAATATATTCGTCTGGATTTTCGGCAAACAACAACAACTGTCGCTGATGAGACTCTGATGTCATATGACATTTAAAACCATTCTATGAAAAAGACAAGAATAAGCCAAACTATACCAGAGTACAGGTGACGTCACAGGTAGATCAGACAAGTTTCAATTTATGTTAGCTGTGACCATCCCACAGTGAACCACTGCATACACATCAATAACCTAGCTTGATTATCCAGATAGTTCCCATATGTTTATCTATTTTAAACCACATAGTCATAAGAATTGTGATTTTTGAGTCTTTGCAAAAATGTATTTTCATAACGGCAAGTCTTAAGCAGGCATTCTGTTCACACATTACCTGGTACTGAAGCTGTGACTGAAGAAACAGAATGTGTCCAGTTCACATTAATATATCTGACATCATAACAATTTGAGAGATTTTGTATACCATCTATAAACATACTTCAATACCTCTGTACCGGTATGTCAAATCAGAAACCAAAAATTACCTTTCATCAGCAAAGATGGCCAGAGCACAAGAATCCTTTTAACTTAAAGAATTTTAACATAAGATTAATAATTAATTTACCTCATCTCTACACTGTTTTTGACACATCTCACAATACCATCGTAACTTCTGTAAACCCTTGGATTTAATACGATTTGCAATAGCCTTTGGAGTTAAGAATCCACCCTTTTCTTTTCCCATTTTATTGATATGTATTACTTATGTTGACATCTGCAAAGAGAAATGAAATGAAATGGGGTTTAACGTCCTACTGTTCTGCTCTGACTGGGCTAAAGAAGACGGGCATATGCCATACAATGTGCTATGAGGGAAATTTTGCCCGAACAGCAACCTACTCTTATATATAATTCCAACTGCCGGGGGATATTTTACGTGCACTCCAATGTGTACATGGGCCCTGTAGGTTAGCAAGTCAACATCTTAATTACTGAGCCACTGTGTTTCTCCATGTGCAAATAGAAGCATAATCAAAATACGTGTATGCATACAAAATAAAGTTACTTTTAGTCCCAGGGTAATTTTAGCCAGTCAGAAAATGTGACCCATGAAATATGTCTGAAATTATGTTCTATTTGTTATTTTATGTCACTTGCAGTCTGTATTTATAAATAGAGGACATAATCAACCTAGAAGGATCATAGATCTGATATCATCTATACTGACTGACCAGTGCATCGGCTATAATATAACCGTGTGTCTTTTCACCGCTGATGACTGACGATTGTTCTCAAAATACAAGATATTATAACACAATTTAGAATAGGGACTAGTAACCATTGAAATCTAAATATGGGTTAACGCCCAAATTTAAATAACTCAGCCATACATGAAGAAATGAAATTTAGGTAAGCCTTGCCCAATTATAATCAAAGTTTTTCAAAATTTCCAATTTTGTTTCATCTGCTTACCTAAAATTCTTATAATGTAAGCCACCATGACACCAGCCAGGTGAAATCTCGCCAAATATTGTGACGCGTTAACCCCGCCCATGGTTTCCCTCATAAGACTGTGCCACTACGCTCGGTAATTACTATCAGAGAATATAGGATCATAACAAATGTTATAGATTTGCCAAATCCAGTTGGCAAGACGCCCATTACATCAGACTTCTAAAAACAGAGTCAATAATTAACTTTTGTTCACGTTTGAGCGAGAAATTAATACCCATCCTTCGCAACACACAGTCTATTATTGTTTTGGGCATTTTTTCCAACGCTAAAGTCATTAGCATATAATTATGGACATGAAGGCCATATATGGAAAGTGACGTATGATCACGTGAGATGGAGTGCGCATACTATTTCAGACTTGTGGACATTTTAATTTGGATAGCAGAGAAATTTTGCGCAAAGTTGGGTTTCGTCAAATCATGTAATTATGCGGTAATGCTACACCTTTATTTCAATGGGAATTGGTTTATTATATGTTAAGCTATGTACAATACAGTTTGGGGTCAGTTTATGTGTAATTAAGGGAGTTATAGGCCAGTAAACTTTTTTGTAGTGATTTGACTAAAAAACTTGCGCATTGGAACTCTGTAGGACGAGCCACTACTGTGGCTGGAGTAAGACGGAAGACATCAGCAGTGGAACCATTTCTACGTTCACTGAAACTGATACACGATCGTTTAGCAGTTAAAAATTGCCCAGAAAAATTGACTGGGGTCGATTTTATTTTCAAAAAGTATTCAATAGATGTCCAGGACGGTTGCTGAACATATGGGGCGAGTGTAATGAGCCCTACGTTCAGAGCTGAACGAATCCATGACTACTCGGACCAAAGACCACTTGGACCAGGACCAGTCGGACCAACTGATAGACCACTCGGACCAACTGATAGACCACTCGGACCAACTGATAGACCACTCGGACCAAACAAAAAGACTACCCGGACCATAGAAAAAGACTACTCGGACCAAACAAAAAGACCACTCGGACCAATAATAAAGTGTTGTTTTAATAAATTGATAATTGTGTTTGTTTTAATATTGTTGTAGGGGGTAAAATTATCTATAAAACGACCACACAAGGGTTCAGTTTCACAACAGTTTATTTAATATTCATTAAAAAAAACCCCCTGAAAGTATATAATTTCAATATAAGTTATACAATCAACATATAAAATCAATGCGTTCATTTCATTAAAATAACATATTACATGTTAATATTAAAACACACGATTGATGAAAATAACAATCGAATCGACAAGAAACTCTAAATATAAAAATGATACCAAGGTTAAATGAAACATACAACCTTACTCTACCAAATTCTATCTAATAGTGACCAAGGTGATTTCTACATTTACGGGAGCGGTTCGTTGCTCGCGCAAAATTTTAAGAAAACCCAGTAAAAATAATCAAAATATTGACAAGTTTATTGCCGAAACTAACCCAACAATGTCAATAACATCATAAATTCGTCTGTCAAACTGAGATTCACCCAGCTGCACGCGGCATTTTCTCCTGAAATTTGATTGGCTAATAAAGTTACTCGCAACTTGTGTTACTAAAAATACACTTTAGACCTGAACGTCATGACTGGTTTTCCCACGAACACCAGTAACAAACACGTGATAATCGAGTCTAAAGTAAAGAATGTTTACATCCGGCATTTGGCATTCACGCTAAATGAACACGTTTCAAACTAATATTTATCGGTAGTGATTAATTTGTATGTATCTGTACTCACCCGTGTTTTAAACTTTTAAACTTTGAAGTCTTGCACTTTTAACTAATTTTAACCATATGGAACCTATTGGATGAACACTTTAATATGCAAAATATCTACGTGTCCAGCTATGTGGTTTTTACTGTGAGCACTTCGCTTTTCCACATACAGCCAGCGGATTTTTTTCCCCAAGGGTTTTTTTCTATCCGCTCTGATGACGCCAAACATCCGTCAGCTGGACCTCCTGTTTTAACATGTTTTTAAAGAGAGAAGATGACCCGCCCTCTCTTCATACAACAGCGAATTTATAAGTGTGTTTTAAGAAACTTCTGATATCCGAGGACTTTTTTATTTTGTGTTTTTAACAATTTTCAAGTGTAAATAATTTAATTAAATCAACCTGTCCATAATATTATATTTATTGTATTGGACGTTAAATCTGTAGTAAACAACAACAACAATGTTACTAGCTGCAATATTTGTGATAATTCTTATTAACAGCTACAACTGATAAATTCGAGGCTTTGAGCAAGTAAAATTAGGCTCAATTGCAAAATTTTCAACATATATCATCAGTTTGCATGGAAATAAGTATGTTACAAATAGTGAAGAGTGGAACACTGAAATCTTAATCTTATCTTACCGAACAGTTTTTTTTTTTTCTATTTATGAGTGAGGTTTCACCTTTATTTCACCTCTATTTCAATTGGTTTATTATATGTTAAGTTATGTAAAGTACAGTTTGGGGTCAGTGTTATTGGAAATTTAATGAAGTTATAGGCCAGTAACCTTTTTTGTAGTCAAATGACTACTGTGGCCGGAGCAAGACGGAAGACATCAATAGTGGAACTATTTCTACCGTGTTACATGCTTATCAAATTGATGAAGCATATCAAAGAAAAAAAATTAAATTGTTGATGTATGTGGAGATGGTCCGATTAGCAAAGATAAATACTGGTCCGAGTTGATTAATTAGTACTCGCCTTCCTTTGAATTACAGCATGTAATTTGCCGGTTGGAATTGGGTGGTCATGGGCTATTTTTCCACTGACAAATTCTTCAGGACATATGGTTTGTACATGTATAACAGTAGCACCACATTGATGTTTTGTTGTCCTGTCTCTCAGTTGAAGACTTCTTGACATATGTACATGTATCTATCCGTTTTCATCTACTAATTTATTTTTTCCTTTCTGCGACCCAGTATATAACACTGTAAACTCTGGTACAGTTGTACCTGAACTTGGTTCACACACCCTACATAATCTGGTGAAGCCAAGGTGGTGTAGTTATTCCTGAATTTAATGTTAATACATGTATATCAAAAAGGCTACCAGATGGATGCTCCATCCATACCACAGAATTAAAGGCAATATCCACAGCTCTTGAGTGGCTTATGTCATCCACGGAACGGAAGCAGATTCTTTTTCCACACAGGGTTTTTTCTATACGCACTGATGGCGCCAAACATCATTCAGCTGAACCTCCTGTTTTAAAGTGTTTTTGTTATGACAAAGGGAGAAGATGACCCGCTCCCTCTTCTCACGACAGCGATTTTATAAGTGTGCTTTAAATTGACTTTTTATTATACAAGGACTTTTTATTTTGTGTGTTAACCAATTTTAAGGAGACGTTTGATATATACACGGATGTTTGTATTGTATGTTTTTACCAATTTTCAACCAATTAAGTGTAAATAATTTAATTAAATCAACCTGTCCATAATATCATATCTAATGTATTGGACGTTAAATCTTTAATAAACAACAACAAACAACAACAATATTTGCTCAGATATATTCTTTTTCATTAAATTAAAAATGTTTGGCCGTTATGACCAAATTTTTGGGACGTTATAAACCAACTGTTTGACCGTTATAACTAAAGTAGGGCTGTTTTGACCAAACCTGTTTTTGGCCGTTATGGCATCGGGCCGTTATGACTACATCCCCGAGTGGTCTTACAATATAAATTAATTGGTCCGAGTGGTCTTTTGGTTTGGTCCGAGTAGTCTTTTAGGTTGGTCCGAGTGGTCCCTCTTTTGGTCCGACTGGTCTTTTTTGGGGGGTCCGAGCAGTCTTTGGTCCGTTCGAGTGGTCTGGATACCAGCTGAACTAACCCTAACCCGATTCTCCCATATTTTTACTACCGGTAGGCTACTTTTAGTACAGTATATGGTAATTTTATAACTTGTCTATATTATGCATTAATGTGCCTTATATATAGGTTTATATTGGCGCTAGGAGTAGGAATATGTTCAATATGTTGGCTAACTTCTTCTCGAATCCGGATGCTGGAATACGGATGAGAGATTCCGGGATAATGAAAACGGTAAGCTTACCCAAAAGAAATTAACTTTTAATATCGTCCTACTATAAGTAGATGAATTCGGTTGTTTTTTTTTTATTTTATCGCCAATCTTTCTTACCGGATGTTGTTGAATTATCTTTAGTTCAAGGGAGGGAAGTGCGCTAGTGGCGCAGTGGAAGTGCTCTCCTTTTTATTTTGAGTGAAAGGCGCGAATGAAGATGGCGACCGTTTGTGGAGTGAACGAATCGTTGTTGGAACAGTTTTGTGCAGTTACAGGTTTAAAACAGACCATTTCTTTCTTTTCATTTAGGTCTCTGAGACAAAAACTCTAATTGTATCAGTATCATCACCGAGAAATAGTATGAGTAATAGTGTTTATTGTACGTTTAGATGGTATACTAGCTCTTGACCGATCTGGAGAATATCTTGTCAGTGTTTATAGGCCAAGTTTATACCCACAATTCTAACCCTAACCCTTCAGAATAGTTTTAGCCACAATCCACCGTTGTTACAGCTTCAATTTGTACGTTTGACATGTAATTTATAAACCTAACCCTAACCCTGGTGAAAGATATTCTCCAGATGATACAAAGATCTAGTATTATTCACTAGCCATAGCTACGAGAACGAGTTAAAAACGTTGCGATAAAGCATTCTTTTAGGAACTGTACGTCTCTGAGTGGACGATGACCACTGATAGTTCCTATCGGGCTCTATAGGAGCTTTTACGGGTTTCCCTTTTGACGTCATTAGCGGTCATGCGCAGACCCTGGCCCGTATAGGCCTACTGAAACCCATAGGCCATTGTTGTGTGTTATTTTTATAAAATACCGTTACGGTTGTACATATTATATGTAAAATGGAACCGATATATGTGTAAGGTTTACCGAATAATGCCACAAACCGATATTTACAAAAACTTTGATATAGAAAAGATACGTCAGGTTTACCAGACCCGTAATGGCCGTATGCAATTGAGGAAAACAATAGTGGATCATACTGATCCGTGCTCATGGCCCGAACTAGAATTTGGTCAAGTTTATTATGTATTTTACGACCAAACAGATGTTATCTATTAATTCCAGGACTATTAATAGAAAAGATTTAAATGGTCTATCCTATTTACTGTAAAACATGAAATTATTGCGACATGAAATTATTGCGAGTTGGGGTGGTGAAACATAATTGCGACATGAAATTATTACGAATTTCTATAGTAGGGAAAAAATTATTGCGACATGAAATTATTGCGAATTTAAATAATTTTTTTAGTAAATTTGTCTATAAAATGTGGTAGATTGTTATTTTTGGGGTGACAGTTGGCTCTTCAAAACATCGGTTGATTGGTGATCATTAGTAACAGTAAATAAACAACTATTGAGGATTATAGCTTTGAGGTGACAGTCGGCTCTTTAAAACATCGGTTGATTGGTGATCATTAGTAACAGCAAATAGTGTAAACTTGTCATTTTGTACCAACCTTCGATACTACTGTCTACCATTGTGATGCATTCGATAATATTTATCCATTTTTGTGAATAAAATCTATGAATTAATTTTATTTTATCAAAAAAGCACATGAACAAAAAAACACTGCTAATTTTATCTCCTATTTACAGGGGGTGTAACTCTGTATGTAATATTATAGGAGGCACTAAAACGTCTATTTAACAATAAAGTGGCAATGGAAAAGAGATACTGGATGATCGTGACAAAACTCGGTACTTTTATTTTATTCATTCAGTATCAAATAATGATAAAATAGTTGTTTGATGCACAAAGTAAAACATAAGCCATTTTTATTAAATTTCATCTTGATGGAGTATGAATACCAGTAACAGAAAGCATAAAATTATGATCAAGTTGAAGCTGTGAATATTTTTTAAAACCCTTTTTTCCTGTTAATAGTAACCACATAAATCGTCTTGGCTCATTTTTTGGGACTCAGTGAAATTTTAATACAGTCAGTTTATCTCTACTGTTGCAACCAAGAATGAAGAACAATACATTTGTGTCCATTTTATCAATTTCTAATTCAGTATTTGGTTCAGAGATGAGAACCAGGGCTGTCAGTAATTTTTCACAGATGATTAGCAGCACTGCTAATCAAAAAGTCCAGTTTTGCCAAATTTGATTAGCAAATTTAAAAACTGATTAGCAGTTTTTCAGTTTCAACATAAAACACCTAAATAACAAGATTATTATAATTTTAATTTATAACAAATGATTAGATTTCATTAAAAATAAAACACACTTATATGGATATACTACTTCTGAATTTATTAACATGCTACGTTTCGATACACATACAGATATCGTTTTCAAGCAAATAATGATAATCAACAATAAATGTGGTACAATATATAGGTAACAAGTGGAAACCATTTAACAGAATAATCAATACTATCAACAACGCATTATCAAGATCAAAGAAGTTATGTAAATTAACATGATGAAAGAATAACACTAATAATACAAAAGGAAGAGATTAGAGGATAATTGACTACTAATAATACAAAAGGAAGAGATTAGAGGGTAATGACTACATGAAACCGTAACATCAAGACGCTAATTAACTATATGAAACCATAACTATAAGATGAGATGAAAGTCAGAGATAGAAACAATCATCACAAGTGAGACCTTAACTACAAGATGAAATAAAGGGGGGGGGGGTCATACACTTATGACCACAGACACTTCTCATCACTAACGCACACTGATTAAGAATTAATTATTGATTATTCTGTTAAATGGTTTCCACTTGTTACCTATATATTGTACCACATTTATTGTTGATTATCATTATTTGCTTGAAAACGATATCTGTATGTGTATCGAAACGTAGCATGTTAATAAATTCAGAAGTAGTATATCCATATAAGTGTGTTTTATTTTTAGTGAAATCTATTTCTATATGTCTTATAAGGATTATTATAAGGATTAGATTAGATTTCATTCTTAAGATTTTTTTAGAATTTTATTTTTTTAGAATTTTAGCACGGCTACAGGTAGCTGTGAACATTTCTAAATGTAGACTTTTGCTTAGGCCTTACATGTATGTCTGAAGCCAATTCTTGGCAGTGGCATCCGAAGTCCCACTCATTTTAATTCTTATTTCTTCGTTAGAAAACAATTTCGTCTGCTTTTTATCGTGTGTTACTATTTTTTTTCAGTCGGACGCACACAGTATTTTACGAATAATCTCGATTAACTAGACGCACGCGATATAAACAATAATATTTTACGGGAATTCTTACTTTGATTTCTCATTTTACAATACGTTTACACATATTTTTTTTATATATTTTATTTAAAAAGGCCACCAGAAGAATGTCACACATAAAAGCTCCTATAATTAATGAAACTTTATTTTAAAAAATATATCTTTGTATCCCAAAGAAATGTCCCTTTTGATATTTGCTCATTTGAGACCATAACTTTCTGGATTATGGCCCCTGATTGTACGAAAAATCGCATTTGTTTTACCTTGTTCTCTATCCATCTCTTGCAAAATGTGAGCGTATCTTGCTTAGCAAACGCTGGTTTGGCGTTTCCATGAATACCAAACCACAGTCTATAGACAAAAAATTTTCTGTAGTATATTGTTCATGCCAAATTTGATGAAAATCCATGCAGGCATAACTGAGAAAATTCAACTTTGTTGTCAGCAGTACCTTTTATTATCATGCTTTTGGGCCAAGTTTGGAACATAGAGTTGCTAAATACAATTGGTATATTTTTGGTGATTAATATGTAGTTTACCACCCCAAATAACAAAAAATGTCATATCTTATGAACAAATATTACCGTGCTAGCTTTAAAATGTACATTTTAGACTGCTCTTAATAGAACAAAATGAATTGTAACAAAGTTAATTCTTTTTCTTAATTTTCAAAGTCAATCCGATTCCAACAGAATAAGTTTCATTCAGACTTTTCTCCTTTTATTATATTTTGGTTGGGGTTTTCTATAACTAAAGCAAGGTTTTGACCAATTTCTTTTTTCTGTTTGATATTCTTGATAAAATCCATCAGAAAGTTGCGATGAATATGAAAGTTTCTTATCTGTTATCTGTACCATGTCCATGGTAGGTGAATTGTTGCTCCCTGACTTTTCAAATTCATGGTAAAAGTGAGGGCCAGAGAGATTACTCTTCTTTATATAATCGTGGTCTGAATAAACACACTGATCATCAAACTGAAATGAAATGGGGGTTTAACTTCCTACTCTTCTGCTCCGAACTGGGCTAATGAAGACAGGCATACACCATACAGTGTGCTATGAGGGAAATTTTGCCCGGACAGCGGCACTACGGCCTACTCTTATATCGAATTCTAACTGTCACAGGATTTTACGTGTACACGGGACCTCAGTTTTTCGTACCATCCGAACGACTAGACAGCTGTCTTTGTCAGGCCCTCCGTCCTGCATCACTGACAATGGGGAACCACGCCAGAATATCTGGATGAACTTTCTCGGCCAATGCAGGGATCGAACTCCTGACCTCCAGGTTAGCGAGCCAGCGTCTTACCCACTTAGCCACCGTGATCCCCCTGATCATCAAACAATAAATTACATTGAAATTCTGGTGATTTTAACTAAATAGATATTTATTGTTACATTGTAGGAGCTAATAAAGATGTTGGACAAAGGTTGCTAGAAGCTTGTGACTATAATTTAGAAATGGCTATAGGAATGCATATGGATGGAGGAGAAGCTCAAGGAGATGGTCCTGATCAAGTAGCTTCATCATCTTGTCCCCTGAATGATGATGTAGATGATCTACAGTATGTTATTACATATTGCTATTATATCAAGCCTTCACGTAAATAGATTCCTGGAGAGTTAAAAAAAAAAAAGCTCTCCTGAAATCAGAAAAAGGGAAAATCACTCTGCTGAATCTCGTAATTTGTAATTAAAGCAAGAGTTCTTAAAGTGATAATTTCATATTTTTAAAATGTATTAAAATAAGGCCTTAAAATAGATGGTATCTATAAACAGTCCTACCTTGTTAAAGAATAATCCTATTAATCCTATAACTCACTATTGCCAGGAGAGAAATTGGCAAAAATATCATTTTCAAATTCAAACGTTTGAAAATAGCTATTCCATGGGGGGGAGGGGGATAGAAAAACAAGGGAGGTACAATGTAATTGTGTTATTATTATTGTGAATGTTTTTTAAGTGTGAGAATGATACCTATGAAGGTATAATAGTGAGTTGACAACCTATTGAGCAAAAGACAGAAATAATTATGTTTTGACTTTCTTAGAAAATATGAAATTCTTGCTTTAATGCGTTTTAAAACGAACGGCCAGAATTAAGTCAAATGAGGTCCCAGTAGGAAATGGGGGTAATTAGGCTCCCGTTAACTTTAATTCTTGCTAATTTGTTACTTTGCGTTATGGAGAATGTCTTATTCCGAATAGGCTAATATATGCAATTACCACCAAAAAAATAACGATAAATAGGTACACTTTTCTAAAAACAAATCTATATTCAATTTACGTATCAAAACTTCTCAACTAAATGGCCACTCTCCATTATGCAAATAGCATAAAAGCATGTATTAGTACTATTACCAAGGTTGTGGACCTCTAGAGGTCACAATTTTTTATCCGATTTTGACCAAACTCGAAATATATGTTTATATAACCCAATATTATTACCTGGTTGTACGTGAAAAGGAGTAGGGTCGCCTGTCCAACCTCGTGGGTTTTCCTCGGGTCCTCCGGTTTCCTCCCACGACTAAAGACCCCTACGTGCATGCTAATTATTGAAATAAAAATTGAACCATGTGTTAGTCCTGAAATGACCTAGTTTGTGTAGAGTGGACGTTAAACGCCATTTCTCTCTCTCCCCTTTCAATATTGGTGCAACTTGTTTGTTGGATTTTCAGCACTTTATAAATAGATTATTATTATTATTGGGCTGTAACCTGAATTATTACCCCTGATTGTACAATGTACAAAAAGTCACTGTTTTAGCTTGTGGACCATTTTAGAGGTCACAATTTTTGTTTGATTTTAAAAACCCTTCAAAATATACTCTTTAAAAAAAAGTAAGGGATAATGAAATGCAAATACCAATGCAGGTTGCGATATGATAAATAGTCATGGACATTTGACATGCTTTGAGAGTATGTTCGGAGATGAAGAACTTATCGCCCCAACAGAACCACTGAGCTGCACATGGGAGGGGTTCATTGTCAAATTTGACATTTCAAGGAAGGGTTGATGAAAACTGCCGTGTGCTGGTTTATCTATCCATGTTTGCTTTCCTGTTGGTTCTTGCATAAGATTTACTGTTTAGTGTATCTTTGCTTTAGTGTGTTATGTTCATGTGTAGGCAATTGGCCTGTTATTAACATACACTGGTTACCTCTAATAAAAACAGTAGCAGTGCATTTCCACAGTTTTGTATTGTTTCTGAATATCCCCTACTTTTTTTGAAGGGTAAGCTTATATACACTGTAACCCAGGTATCATTTAATCTTGTGTATCTAGCACTAATTGAACCCTATTGATATTCGATTATCCATGCCCTTATGTCTCTTTAATAATGTTGATCAATTTATTTTACTTGTAGATCTTCAATAAGAGCACCCATTCCACAAAAGAGAGAAGTTTTAGTGGAAGATAGTCCTGTATCAGGTAATAAGATACACAAATCTATCATATTTACAACAATTCCAGACCGTTCTTTAAAAAGAAATAATTTTCTGTCCACCAACTGGGTCATAAAAGGGAGGATTACTGGTTTTATATGCCCACATTGAAGTGTGGTCTATATTGTCGTCACCCCCTATCCGTCCGACGTCCACAATTGCTTGTGGATGCTCTAGAGCCTAAAGTTATACACAGTGTTTAGGGTCATGCGACGAAGAAGCCCATTGATTTTCAGCAATTTCCAATAATTACTGCCAGAGTTATGGCCCTTGATCTCTTTGAAAAATCTTGTGGGCGCTCTAGAGGCTAAAGTTAATATCCGATTGACTTTAGATTTGTACACAGTGTTTAAGGCTGCGAGAAGAAGAAACCTATTGATTTTCGATAATTACTGCTAGAATTATCACGCTTGATCACTTTTAAAAAAATCTTGTGGATGCCTTATAGACCAAAGTTATCATCCGATTGACTTTAGATTGATACACAGAGTTTAATTTCTTGAGACAAACAAGTATATTGATTTTCAATGAATTTTGAAATCGAACAGCTAAATCGATGATATTAAATGTTTTGTATACTAAATGTTAGCATGGGGCAGAACTAAAAGACAAACAAATTCTAATAATTTTCTGATAATTACTTAAAGGCTCAATACCACTCTTGTTGTAACTGAATAATATGTCCCAATCTTTATTCTGGTCAACATATTGTACTATTTTACAATATTCCAATTAATTGATGATACAAATTTCATCTTAAAACACCTAATTTTAAAAATTGGAAAAATTCAACTAAATGATTTGAAAAGCCAGACGTAAAGCTTTTCAAATGTGACTTAGATTTAAAAATAATTTTGAACCCTCTGGACAAGTAAAATAGGATTTAATGGATAATTTACACAACAGGTAGGACACTTAACACATCTAGTACTTAGAATAAGGCTATTTTTTATTTTCTGGAGCTGTCAAGCCAGCAAGAGTGTTATAGTCCCTTTAATGAGTTGTTACTTTTAATCAGATTTTAGTGTATTTAATGATTCATTAACGACTATAGAAAAAATACTCTTATTGACTGCTGTGGGCGCATGCATGTGGACTTAATATCATCCATTGTTCACCCTGGGTTACATTTTTTCCCCACCAGATTTCATTTAAATTTCATACTATAAATGTCTCTGACATACCAAACAACAGTTATTATCAGACTTTGATGAAAGGTCAGTTTGAGATTTTCATTTACAAACCATGGCATGGTATAAGTGATGATAATTTCTGACTTTCGCCAATCCAAAGAATATAGAGGCATGTATCATAGACTGTAACAATAAACCTGGCTTCACTCTTAATGCGCCTACATTAAAATGTGTTCGTATATTGTCATGACCCCTGGCCGGCTGTCCACAATTGGTTGTGGATACTCAAGACTTACTAGAGGATAAAGTTAATATCCGATTGACTTGAAATTTATACACAGTATTTAAAGATGCGATATGTAAGAGTCAGATAATTTAAATATTCAAGGTGGCCTCCACGAGGCATTTTCTGGTTATTTAGTTGGGTAAAATTTGTGACAAATTCTCTTGGTTTGAAGGTGGTTTCTATAAATAAAGTGAAATGGGGTTTAACGTCTTACTGTTCTGCTCCAACTGGACTAATGAAGACAGGTATACGCCATACAGTGTGCTATGAGGGAAATTTTACCTTCACAACAGCATTACGGCCTACTCTGATATTGAATTCCTCCTGACAAGGGATCTTTTACGTGCATGCCAATGTGTACACAGGACTTCGGATTTTCATCCCATCCGAATGACCATACGTTGTCCCACATCACTGACAAGGGGGAACCATGCTGGAAACTCCACATGGGAACTTTCTCGGCCAATGCAGGGATTGAACACACAACCTCCAGCTGAACCATCGTTTCTATAAGAATTCAACCCGCTGAATCCAATGAGCTTGGGCATTCCTCCCAAAAGTGACGGCTAATTCCGCAAGGGAACCAAATTCTGATCAAAAAGGTCACAATTCTTATCTGATTTTGACAAAAATTCAAATATAAGTGTTTAAAAGAGAATGAAATCATCTTTATCATGGTAGGAATACACCATGATGTAGTGAAGTTTAGGTCACAGTTACATTGCTAACACAAAAGAAATGATACTACTATATCACACCATTTCAATTCATCTGCAGTAATAATTTTCTCTTTGATTGATAACTCACCCCATGCATCCTGTACAATGCAAAATACAATATATTGTAGACTTAATTTATATTTTTGTAGCGTATAGAGGAAGACAACTGCCAGCAGCATCAGTTTTTGATGGTTTTAGAGACTTCCAGGCTGAAACACGTAAGCTATAATTTATTAAATCAGTAGCAAGCATTATATAACTTTAAAAAAGCACCTACATTTTGTGTAAGCTAAAAGAGAAGGGAGGGTAGTATTATATATATCTTTAAGTTTTTACCTTTAGTATTTATTCCGGTTATCAGACAATCCTTACCAAAAATCTGATGCAGGAGGAAGATTTCATATTTGTATTTTTATTATACACCAACATTTTCATGTGAATAAAAATAAAGAGAGAGGAATCCAAAACCATTTGAATAACATAAACTTTAGTAGGATCCAAGTTTATTAGACACCAGTTGGCAGAGTGGTTAAAAACAAAGTTGTGGGTATCACAAAACCATCTTTTATATAAAACTCTTTTGTTTTTAATTACATGGGGGTTGGATGGCCGAATGGTTAGCATGCGTGTGCTGTATCATAAGGTCTGTCATTGAGTCAACTGACGTTTCGATTCCCCGCAGTTTTACACAACAAGAAGTAGGGTCGCATGTCCAACTTCATGGGTTTTCTCCGAGACCTCCGGTTTCCTCCCACTGCTAAAGACCCCTACGTGCAAGCAAATTATTGAAATAAAATTGAAACGTGTTATTCCAGAAATGTGTCGAGTAGATGTTGAACCCCATCTCTCTCTCTCTCTCTCTCTCTCTTTCTCTCTCTCTCTTTAACTACATTTTCATGTGAACATATTGCCGACACTCTACCAGTCACAATTCTTATCCAATTGTAATGAAACTTAAAATATAAGGTTATCTCCAAAAGATCTTGGTTTCTTTCTATGTTGGCATGTATTCTGATTGTACGAAAAATCACGTTTTTGGCTTTTGGACCCTCTAGAAGTCACAATTTTTGTCTGATTTTGATGAAATTTAAAATATATTGTTATATCCCAAAGGTCTTGGTTCCTTTCGATATTCATGCCCTGGATTATGGCCCCTGATTGTACAGTTAAGTTCGAATTTCATGAAAATCAGGCCGAAACTGCCCGACAAAATGGCCGCTCCTTGTACGCAAATATTGTAAAAGTATGTAATACAGGTACCAAGGTTGTGGACCCTCTAGAGGTCAGAATTGTTATCTGATTTTGATGAAACTTAAAATATATCTTTATATCCCAGAGATTTTGATTCCTTTTGATAACTTCCTGGATAATGTCCCCTGATTGTACGAAAAATCGCTTTTTTTTTAGGTTGTTTTCTGTCCATCTCTTGCAACATGTGGGTAATCTTGCATGGCAACTGCTTGTTAACTTGTGGACATAGTAGAGGTCACAAATGTTATCCAAATTTAAAAATGGATTCTAACATATCATTGTTACACCCCAATGAGAGTTGCATTGGAATTATGTGAAAATCTGTCCAATACTGTCAGACAAAATGGCCGCTTCCTGTATCAAAAATTCTCAGTTACTTTTGATATTGACGTTGGTCGAAACTGTAACATCCTCCATTATGGCCCATTATTGTATGAAAATCGCTATTTTAGCTTGTTCTCTGTCAATCTGTGGTTATATCTTGCATGACAACCGCTTGTTTTATATATATACTGTCAGGTCAACAAGAAGAAAAATTATTGGGGGGGTCAGCAAGTACAAGTGGTAGTACTACCAATCCTTCAAAACAACGAACACTAGAAGATTTATTTCGTCCACCTATAGACCTTACATTTAAAGGCACTTTTCAAAAAGTAAGTTCAAATTTTTCTTGGAAATTTCTAAAACATGTTTTATTTGTTTCTGTTTGTATTCCTCTGCTATTCCCAACATGGTTATTAAAACTATATCTAGATGACACCTTAAATTATCCACAATATATATGCTTCTTTAACATGTGGTCATGTATGTTAGTAAAGCAAATTTAAATCCAGATAATCTTGAAAATCCAATATCAAATTTGCATTTTATCAAAATTGATTGAAAAATTAGTAACTGATTGTTTTACATAACACACACAGATATCGGGCCACTTCAGAATTTTTACTACAGTTATTTTTTTTACGGCCACATAGAAATGTGGTTGAATATTTTTGTTGACCTGTTCATATGCTAGTCCAGTGTTCACAATTACTTGTGGAAATGTATGTACAGTGTATATATTTATGAGACAAAGAATCCTATTTATTTTACGTTATTTCACATAATCACAGAGTTATGGCCCTTGATCACTTTAAAGACTAAAGTTGTCATCTGATTTACTTAAAATTTATGCACAGTGTTTAAATTCATGACACAAAGACGGCTATTATTTTTAGCGTTTTTGAGTTATGGTCCTTGATCACTTAAAAAAATTATAATTGTCAGCTCTTTTACTTGAAATTTATAACCAGTGTTTCATTTTCATAGATGAAGAAGCCTATTAATTTTCAGTGTTTTCAAGTTGAGGACGTTAAACCCCATTTCATTTCATTTCATTTCATTTCGTTTTCAAGTTGTGGATGCTCTATGGGTTGAAAAGTTATCATCCGATTAACTTTAAACTCATACACAGTGTTTAAGTTCATGAGACAAAGAATCCTATTGAATTTAGTTGTTGGGCCTTTTGCTATTTAGAAATTTCAAGGTTTTTCTACAGCCAAATGGAAATATTGTCTTCGCTTCGTCTATGGTCCACAAGTTCTTGTGAACACTCTACTGACCGCATTTATCCTCTGATTAATCTATCAAAAATTTGCTTCAAATTCTATTCATAAGGAAATATCCCAAGATATAGAAAATCTATTTTTTGAAGCCACGTTTGTCATCTAACTTGGTAGAGGGAGGGCCCATTTTTAGAATGTATTTGTCGTTACTTACTGTCCATTTGCCATACATATTGAAGCTAAAATATTGTTGGATTATCTTCCATTAACCTTCTTTTTCTGCAGTTTAAGTGCAGAGTCTGTTGTACGATTAAACCCCACAATGTTCCCAAAACCACCTAACCATTCGATAAAGATATAACAACCACTCCTTAAGTCAAGCTGGCAGACAATAAGCTGTCGGGCTGATAGGTTTTACATATTTTTTTTAAATGGGTTTCAAAGTGTTTTGTTCCTGTTATGCAAGATCTTTTTCGACATTGCAAAGTAAACGTACGGTGGTAAGACCCCCAAAAGATAAATTTATGTTCAAATTATTAATTAGAACAGGTTTTTCTTTAGTTTTTTGTCCCCCGCCTATCAAAGAAAGCAGGGGACTATTAAAATTGGTCGTCCCAAACATCTTGGTTCATTTCGATATTGGCATGTATCGGACCGTAACTTCATGGATTATGGCCCCTGATAGTACGAAAAATCACGTTTTTAGCTTGTGAACCCTATAGAGGTCACAATTATTATCTGATTTAAAAAAACGTTCGAATACGTCACCGTAATACTGTATTGTTGGTGGTTGAGTTTGAATTTCATGAAAATCGGACCAAAACTGCCAGACAAAATGGCCGCCCCCCTACGCAAATAGTTTAAACATCTGGTACCTAAAGGTTGTGGACCCTCTAGAGGTCATTTTTTTAATCCGATTTTGATGAAACTTGAAATGCATGTTTATAACCCAAAGATCTTGGTTCCTGGCGATATTTGCGGATATTGGATCGTAACTTCCTGCATTATGGCCCCTGATTGTAAGAAAAATCACGTTTTTTAGCTTGTGGTCCCACTAGAGGTCAAAATTTTTATCTGATTTAAAGACAAACGTTTTAGTATATCACCGTTACACCTTTAGGATGGCTGAGTTTGAAATTTGTGAAGCCGGACAAAATGGCCACCCCTCGTACGCAAATAGTGTAAATATGTGGTATATCAAGGTTGTGGATCCTCTAGATGTCACAATTTTGATCAGAATTTGATTTATAATCCCAAGATCTTGGTTCCTGTCGGTATTCGCGCGTATTGGATCGTAACTTCCTGAATTATGGCCCTTGATTGTTCGAAAAATTGCTTTTTGTTTAGCTTATTCTCTATCCATCTCTAGCAAAATGTGGGCATATCCTGCTTGGCAGCCGCTGGTTTTTAAATCGGATAAAAATTGAGACCTCTACATGAACGGCAAGTTAAAAACATGATTTTTTGTACATTCAAGGGCCATAATTCAGGAAGTTACGCGCGAATATCGAAAGGGACTAAGATCTTTGGGTTATAAACATGTATTTCAACTCGAATCAAAATCGGATAAAAATTGTGACCTCTAGAGGTCTGATATACCAGATGCTATACACTATTTGCGTAAGAGTGGCGGCCATTTCTTCTGGCAGTTTTGGCCTGATTTTCACAAAATTTGAAATCAAAATCGGATAATAATTGTGACCTCTAGAGGGACAACAAGTGTATTATTACTTGTTGAATAATTATTTACATAGATGAATGTGCGTGGTAGACCTGTTATCTAGTTAATGCAAAGAAAAATTACAGACTTTTATTTGATATACACATGTACAGGCTAGAGAGGCAGGTACCAACAAGAAAAAATGGCTACTTGTTAACATTCAAAATGTACAAGAATTTCAATGTCAAGTATTAAATAGAGATGTGTGGAGTCACAATGCTGTAAGAGGAATAGTCACACAACATTTCATATTTTGGCAGGTATGTGTAATAGCATTTATGCATGAATCTATTTCCGAGAAAAGCATGGGATTATTAAAATGGGTTTGTCTGCCTAATCAACATTTCTTCTCTGTCAAAGCAGGGATAAGCAATTTGATTGGTCAAGATTTTGCAACACTATAACAATAAGCTTACTAAAATTTGAGGTAGAATGTTCAAACGTGGTTCATTAGGCGAATGTCTTGGAAAATTTTGATAAGGAGCATTTTCTGCTTAGGATAGTAAACAGCAACCATTTGAGCACTGTAGACTTCATGTGTTGTAGTTAGGGGACTAATAGTCAGCATACACCAGTTACTTGGAACAGTGTAACTGACAGATGTCACAAAGTTTTTCCTGTATCAATGTACAAAACAGGTTTTTTTGATATGTAATGATTTGTTTTATAATTGTTTTTGTTTTCAAGGTGTATCATGATAGTGAAGAGGGAAAGAAATATATACAGTTTTATAAAATACAAGAATGGCCATATATAGCTATAATTGATCCTGTTACAGGTATCTATATCTCTTTATATAGTTTATTTTAGGACATTTGTCATTCAATAGATTACCGATATGGAAAAGAGTAATACTTCACAGGCTATCAAAATGATAAAAGATACCGATTTGGTTTTTGTTAAGTTACAGCACTGTAGATTGGGTACCATTTACTTGAGAACTATACATATGGTTTACTTTCTTAATTATCATTTAATAGTCATTAAAAATTGTAAACTCCAAAAATGATGTACTTAGTACTATTGTGTAGTTGAATGTTTACCGTGTAATTGACTGTGTAATTTTCCCGGAGCGGTGTGTACCAATCTACGGCTTTTATTTATTAGATAGTCGATATAATTTCCCAAGAGGCGTGTATCAATCACTAAACGCCCCAATTTTTTATCAATTAGATGAACCGTTTAATTTCATGGGATGTGTTTAGCCGATCTGTTTATAATTAAGGAGGTGGACAGTAGAAAATTATAATTTTTTGAGAAAAAAAATGGGGGTAATATTACCATATTTACACATCTAAGAATACATCATGTGAGTAATGCAAAAATGGTCGAATCATTTTCCTGGGGGTACCCGTTGCTATGGAAACAAGAAACTGCCTTTTGGACAATGATTGTTATGTGGCTTACCGTCATCGAGATAATGAAAAAATATTGCCCATGTGCCATTAATCATACCAGACAAATCGTGTACATCTTTTATGGCTCTGCCGTAATAATTTTGCAAGACAACTATTTTATCCTTGGTAAGCCTTCCCTTACCATCAATTGGGCAACCATTGGCTTTATTTTATGGGACAATATTTTCTGGTTAATATAGACTTCATTTTCAACTGGATAGTTTGCGCGATACAGTCCATTATTTTCATTCAGTTTATACAACTTGTTGAAAACTGAGCTATTGTTGTATATCTGAAACAAAATTTCTCAATTGATCATTCAAACAATTTCAAGGTGGCAGCAGTTTCCATGCTCTCTGTGGAGCCATGATGATCTATTTGGCATAGTGGTCTGTGAGCAGTATGCCAAGTTATATATTCCTCGGAAGATCTGTCCATTTTGTTTCGAGAGCAAAATGCGCAGAATTTTGATATAACCTCAGAATCTATAACTAAATTTGTTAAAAAATCAACAATAACAACTACTCCATAATGAGAAGTCAATCCTATTTTGTGCCATGTGCCGTCACTGGAAACAGCAATCATTTTTATACGCCCACATTCGGAAATGAAATGAAATGAGGTTTAACGTCCTACTGTTCTGCTCCGAACTGGGCTAATAGACCAAAACTGCTGGACAAAATGGCTGCTCCTTGGAAGCTGCTCCTTGTAAATTGAATGCTCATTATCAAAATTAGTCAGCTTTAACTGGACGCAAGTACAAATTAGAAGATTTTGGGTGATTTTAATTGATTTTTTACAAATTTTTCAACAAAGATTTTAAATTAAACGAATTAGAAAGAAATTAGTGCTAGATACACAAGATTAAATGATACCCAGGTTACAGTGAATATTACTTCATCACATCAAACTATTTACCATATATATCCTTATTGATTAGTCTACAATCTAATTTGTCATCATTGATTACTTTGTTAGATTCAGGTGTGGTAAGTTTGACTACATTTCTATAGGGGGGGGTTGGATGGCTGAATGGTTAGCGTGCGCGCGCTGTATCATACAGTCTGTCATTGAGTCGACTGGCGTGGTTTCGAATCCCCGGTTGTACGTGACAAGGAGTAGGGTCGCCTGTCCAACCTCGTGGGTTTTCTCCGGGTCCTCCGGTTTCCTCCCACTGCTAAAGACCCCTACGCGCAAGCGAATTATTGAAATAAAATTAAACCATATGTTAGTCCCGAAATGACCTAGTTTGTGTCGAGTGGACGTTAAACCCCATTTCTCTCTCTCTCTCACATTTCTATAGTAGGTCACATTTAAAATGTCCCTTTCTTGCTGACATTCTTTTCTTGTTTTAGAGTGTTTACTTGCAGTTTCTATGTGAAAATAAAACTGTTTTGACCAATTACTTTGATTTCTGGTAATTTTTACTTATATTTTTTGGGGGATATTAGGTGAAAATATGATATCATGGCATAAGATGGATCCATTAACATTTTGTGATTGTGGTAAGTTAACTATTTTATTTAACATAACAAATTACAGTATGTAAGAAATAGTTGTTAGGTACTTTATTTATACCTCAGATTTATTATTATGAACAGGGCTCGAAATTCGTTTTTTCGATCGAAGGCCGACTTTGGCCAACGATAGGCCAAAGTGCAACCTTGATCCAAGGCCAAAAATTGAAAATCCAAGGCCAATTTTTATGTCATGAATTATGATATTATCAGCTTATTTAGAAGGTTTTAATATGTCGATCATATGTAAATCTGTTTATTGTAGATATTGTTTCTCAGTCATAATGTTGTTACAGGCCTGCCTATCACATCACGTTCAATATTTTTATTACTTTTACAAAAATAATGCATCCTTACAGTTATTGAGTTAAGGGAGAAAATTCTTATTGTACTGTTTTTAGTACAATTTTTTTATTCTAAAAAATATGTAAAAAATCGGCATGTAGCCATATTGAGAGTTGAAAGTATTGCTATATATCATCGGTAGAGCTGGGTAAAATATTGATAGTATCGATAAGATATGCCAATTAAAAGCACTATCGAGTACCGGTATCGTTCTCTTCGTCTATTTTTCGTGCGTGCGTAGGAGTCGACTCAATGTTTTCTGTGACTTAATCCTTCGTATATATATAATAATACAATAGCCTACATCGGTCACTTTATATTTACTTCAAAGTCTCAATCTCAATTTAGCTTTTTAAAAAAAATGTTAAAATAAATTCACCCACATTTAAACAATACTTTAGTTTGAAACAATAATCGCCATATCATGGAATTCATTATTTATAAATGACATAGCAATGATGGATGACAAAAACGTTTGTATTTCTTCTTTCGGAATCAAGGCTGTATTTTTTTAATAATAATAAACAATTTACGAATTCGTGATAACAAGCTCTTTAGGCTATTACATTTTCTTTAGTTTTTGCACACGAATCGACAACGATTTGTCCACCATGTTGGTATTTGTCGCGCTCATGTACGCAATGTTTTGAATCGACTCGTGCTCATTTTATTTTGGTTCCTGCACATACATAGGCCTATCAATGGTATTTCATCATTCGGAACCAAGGCTACATTATTTAAACAATTTATACGTAATATGAGACAGTTTATTATTAGACGAACAAAAACATTGTATGGTTTGACTTCAAAACACATAATCCATTCTTCATTACGATCGTGAAAATAAGATTGTTTCGATACCGATTATCGATAGTAAAAATAACTCTCGATACCCAGCACTAATCGGCGACCATACATGGCCGTGGATAGTTAAAAATCGGCCACGAATCTGCGGCCAAATTCTAAAATTCGAAGGCCATGGCCGCCGGCAGTGTCGAGCCCTGATTATGAAGGATGTGGGGTAGGGATCTTGGAACAGGGCATTTAGTACTTAATACTGTAAAGTCGAAATCGTTTAATCTTGCGCACAGTGTTAGTTTCTCTGATGCGTTGAATATCGAAAAATATTATTCAATTAGTACTTGTATCCAATTTAAATCTCAACATTTAATTTTGATTACTGACCGTCCAATTAACTGGTGTTTAGTTCGGCGACATGTTTTCATTTATAAGCGTCCCGTTCAGTTTCCCGAGCCATGATTAATTTAGTCAAGGTGTTCATTTTTGTTTTCATATATTCAATTTCACGTACGATGTTCAGATATTAAGATGTGCTTAGTTGTGGGTCATCGTTCAGTTTTACCACCAAATGTCTGTTTTACTGCACGATGTTAGATTCTCTGTACGATGTTTAAATTCTGTAATAAGTGTTAGTTTTGTTAAATACTGACCTGTTGCGATACAGTGAAATATTTTTCAGGATACATACGACGGCATGTCAAAGGATTACTTTTCAAGACCACTACGGTGAAACAGATGTTGGACTGTAAGGCAACAGGAGGAAGCTAATCTTACTAGAGATGCACATAACGTTTCCTCCACAATCAAAACGTGTATCTATATATCAATTTAAAACAGCATTTTCCACACTGACATAACACATGATCCACGAATGATAAATCTCACTCATCTGATTTACATGTGTAGCTTTGATAATTAAGCGGGACGCTTATAATTGAACACATTTCGGCAAACTAAACACTACTTAATTGGACCCTAGGTAATCAAAATTGAACAGTGGGATTTAAATTGGATCCCAGTATTAATTGAGTAATATTATCCGATATTCAACTACAGTTATGAATATTTCAACCCATAAGAGAAACTAACTCGATTAAACAATACCGACTTTGTTTTAGTTTTGTGAGTATTGAGGTCTTGAATCAGAAGCTTTATAAGATATGTTACTGTACAAATTATACATTATGCCTAAAAACAAATACATGTGTACGGCATGGTTTCCAATTCGTACTTATATTTGACGGTCATGACAGCTTGTATTAAATATTGACTGAATTGTCAATTTACACACTACGATCAAGTTCCGCCACAAAATTCATTGGTGTGAATAGAATATGGCACACGTATGGAAATCATGTCAGCTCATAATTGGTGTTATAGAACAGTATATATAGTTGTCAGCAGAGGATTATATTGTATGTATCGCTAATAATTAATGAAGAACGTCTGATAGAACAATAAAATTAATTACGTGAGAATGTCATGGTAAAATAGATTTAATTTGATCTTAAGAAATAAAGGCAATCAGATACAAAGTAATGCTTGTTGAAACTATTTCAATTGATGTAGAAGGTTGATTAGGTAAATGTCTTGGCTGAGTAGGAGGGTTGGGTGGTTGAATGGTTAACATGTGCACGTTTGATCATAAGGTCTGTCAAGTGGCGTGGTTTTGATTTCCCGCCTCGTGGGTTTTCTCTAGCCACCCAACCCTGCCATTTTTATATTTTATAGACCCCCTGTTTAATTGTAGTTACAGAATTTTTAGCTCTTCATTCAACTGATAGTGGAAGTGATAATAGTCCTCCATGTAAACGACACAAAAAGGTAAATATGTATACATTTAGATTATACAATATATCACACGTTCTGCACATGATGACACCATTCAACAACTACTTTTGCACATAACATTTTAAGAAGTACTGCTAGCAAGGCCTCAATTCAAATGAAAAAAGGCTGCTCTTACTTACACCATACAAATTTTAACTTAACAACTAAATAAAATTTTCCATATTTTGCCAATAAAGAATTAGATCAATTTGTGTACGCCCACATTGAAATGTGGTCGTATATTGTCGTCGTCCGGCGTCCAAAATTGCTTGTGGACGCTCTAGAGGCTAAAGTTAATATCCCATTGATTTAAATTTATGCACAGTGTTTAAGGTCACAAGACAAAGACGCCTTTTGATATTCAACGATTTCCGATAATTACTGTCAGAGTTATGGCCCTAGATCACTTTGAAAAATATTTTTGGGTGCTCTAGAGGCTAAAGTTGATATCCGATTGACTTTAGATTTATACACAGTGTTTAAGGTTATGGCCCTTGATCACTTTGAAAAATCTTGTGGATGCTCTAGAGACCAAAGTTATCATCCGATTGACTTTAGATTGATAAACAAAGTTTAAGGTCTTGAGACGAACAAGTATATTGATTTTCAGTGAATTTTGATAACTTGAACAGCTGAATCGGTGATGTTAAATGTCTGGTATGGTAAATGTTAGCATGGGGCAGAACTAAAAGCCAAACAAATTCTAATGATTTTCTGATAATTACTTAAACATGCATTATGCAAGAGCTAAATCTGCCTATTGCAGGTCTTTCTTTAGGCCTGAAATGTTTTCTAAAGTATTAATTAGATATTAATTAACTGCTCCAGGCCTTAATCAACTCTCGATGGCATCAGAATTCTCCGATATTAAATAGATTAGAATTGTTCAGCGATACTTTGATTTAATCAAATATGGAGGACCGAGACTTAGCTTCGATCAACCAGTACGGTGGTTGAAATTATTGCACACATCTGTCAAACCTTCAAAGGCTAATTTCTTCGCTTGCAATAGAGTAATTTGAATGAATTTTTCAAATTATTCATTTTACATCATCTACTTTCGAACTATTATAGCAAGAATGGCTAGTTCTTTATCTAAATCTTACATAATGTATCTTTTACTCTTGTTGACTGCTCGGACGACTTGGCTGCGTGGGCGTATGTTTCGTTGCCAGGCAACCTATCTTTGTGAAAATGGTAGGACTTGATCTTGAACAGACTGAATCAAAACAGCATAAACTTCACACAAAACACAACATTTATTCGTTATTACATTTGAAACATGGCATGTTTACAAATTCTTTGCAAAAATTTGCTGTCAATTATTCTAATATGCCAAATTGTGATTGATTTTGGAAAAGACTGTTTTTATACGCCCACATTTTCATGTGGACGTATATTGTCGTCGCCCCTGTCCGCCAGTCCGTCCACAGTTGTTTGGGAACACTCTACAGGTCACAATTTTTATCCGATTTCAATGAAAACTTCATCTATTATGGCCCCTGATTGTATGAAAAATCACGTTTTTAGCTTGTGAACACTGTAGAGGTCACAATTTTTATCCGATTTGGTTTAAACTTAAAATGTTTGTTTATAACCCACAGATCTCTGTTCGTTTCGATATTCGCGCATATCGGACCATATCTTCCTGAATTAGGCCCCTGATTGTACAAAAAATCGTGTTTTTAGCTTGTGGACCCCATAGAGGTCACAATTTTTATCCGATTTGGTTTTAACTTGAAATGTATGTTTATAACCCACAGATCTCGGTTCGTTTCAATATATGCGCATATCGAACCATAACTTCCTGAATTAGGCCCCCGTTTGTACAAAAAATCGTGTTTTTAGCTTGTGGACCCCATAGAGGTCACAATTTTTATCCGATTTAAAAAACTGTTTGAATATATCACCCTGTAGAGGTCACAATTTTTATCCGATTTAAAAAAAAAATGTGTGAATATATCACCATTACACACTAAGATCTTGGTTCCTTTTGATAATCTCGTATACCCTAACTTAACTTCCTGGATTACGGCCCCTGATTGTTCGAAAAATTGCATTTTTAGCTTGCAGGTTCTCTTGAGGTCACAATTTTTTTCTGATTTTAAAAACCGTTTAAATACATCACCATTCCACCATAATGAAGGTTGAATTCTTATTTCGGGAAAATCAAAATGAAACTGCCCGACAAAATGGCCGCTCTCTGTATGCAAATTGTGTAGAAGGGTGTAATACGACGGTTGTGGACCCTCTAGAGGTCACAATTTTTATCCGATTTTGATGAAATCTTTATATCCCAAAGATCTCTGTCCCTTTTGATATTTGCACATTTCAGGCCATAACTTGATTGTACAAAAAAAATCACGTTTGTTTTTAGCTTGTTCTCTATCCATCTCTTGCAAAATGTGGGCGTATCCTGCCTGGCAGCCACTGGTTACATAAATATGTTTATTTACAGAGTACAATAGTAGATGCTACAGAAGATGCTCAATTGGAGGCAGCAATTAAGGCTTCAATGGCCGAATCAAAGAAAACTCAGATTTACGCGGCAGATTCAGATTTTGACAGTGATGTAGAAACATTTTCTGATTCTGATGATGAATCTGAACATAATATTAATAAGAGTTCAAAAACCCTATCTCAAGACAATTTGCAAAAAGTAAATTTAGATTGTGTTAAAAGAAATCATAAAAATGGTCAGTCTGCTACTGAATCTTCTACATGTAAACATAAAATAGACAATAGTTGTGTGAGACAATTAGATAACAAACAACAACATGTAGATAAAGAACATCAATGGCAAGCTCATCTAGGAAAGAAAAATGGTATGTACAAAAACTTGACAATAGATGAATATTTCTGGATTCGTTATTAGTATATTGTTGCCAATAATCAATAGATCAGATCTTCCATTTCTACATAAAATCTGATTACACTCTCTCCACATCTATCAGCTAATGATCTTGATACAGCCTGTCATGCTTTTCATCATATTCATGATCTTGAGACTCCCTACTTTTCCCTTTTGGGAGTTCATATCTGGGGAACAGGAGTGAAAATTGTCCCTCTAGAAAACACTACAACTTGGGCATCGTGTAGTCAACATGAGGAATATCTGTATTTAATGTTAAGTTTCAAACCATAGTTGGGAAATTGTTGAAATTCGTTAAGTATCAACTAAAAAACCTAATAATGTTGGATTCCTGCTGTCGTGTAGTTTAAAATGGTCCATTTACAAGTGTTTACTTCCTGTGCAGTGTTGAATAATGAACAGACTAATTAGTTATCTAAGCTGTTTAATTAGCAGGCGAATGTAATTCCCCGTGACTGATTAGATTTAACCAATGATTTGAGTAGCTGACATCATGAAAATTTATGGTTTAATAGAAAATATGACAAGGTTTAGATTCTGTGTTACGGGTCTGGATTCTCTACTAAATTAGTAGATTTACTAAATACGCTTCCATTGTCGTATGAACCGCGCGATGTTGTTATTCTATATTATTGACACTTTCGATCGTGTTACGGTATCATTTATATGCATGATCCACTTTGGTTAATTATACTTTGTGTTATTGTTTGCATAAATAATGGCTATTTCATTAAATGACAATTAAAATCAGTGGAACTAATCCAAAAGCACAAAAATATCTTTATACATAGGATGAAAATGTAGCTCAATTGAATTATATATAAAGTTATGTTTCCTTTCTAAATTATGTAAATTGTACTAGTTATATAATTATGATATAAGGAAATAAGACATATAGATGGTTGCCATACTGTAGGTTTATTTTGATATATTTACATCTTATTAAAAAAAAAGTTCATGTTTTAATTTGTTACAGATCCCATAGCAAATTTACTGATCCGATTTCCTGATGGGAATAGAGAGCAATTATCAATACCTTGCAGTTCTACATTAATGGTATGTTACATATACCAAGTCTTAGTTTTTATACGCCCACATTTTCATGTGGACGTATATTGTCGTCGCCCCTGTCCGTCTGTCCACAATTGTTTGTGAACACTCTACAGGTCACAATTCTTATCCGATTTCAACGTAAAACTTGAAATATAGGTTTATCTCCCCATGATCTCGGTTCCTTTCGATATTGGCTTGTATCAGAACGTAACTTCATGGATTATGGCCCCTGATTGTATGAAAAATCAAGTATTTAGCTTATGAACACTGTAGAGGTCACAATTTTTATCGGATTTGGTTTAGTCGTTCGGATGGTACGAAAAACCGAGGTCCCGTGTACACATTGGCGTGCACGTAAAAGATCCCTTGGCAGTTGGAATTTGATATAAGACTAGCCGAAGCACCGCTGCCCGGGCAAAATTTCTCTCATAGCACACTGTATGGCGTATGCCCGTCTTCATTAGCCTAGGTTAGGAGCAGAACAGTAGGACGTTAAACCCCATTTCGTTTCATTTCATATCACCATTACACACTAAGATCTTGGTTCCTTTTGATAATCGCGGATACCCAAACTTAACTTCCTAGATTATGGCCCCTGATTGTTCGAAAAATAGCAATTTTAGCTTGCAGATTCTCTAGAGGTCACAAATTTTTTCCAATTTTAAAAAACGTTTAAATACATCACCATTCCACCATAATGAAGATTAAGTCGTATTTTGGGAAAATCGAAATGAAACTGCCCGACAAAATGGCCGCTCTTTGTATGCAAATTGTGTAGAAGTGTGTAATACGAAGGTTGGTGGACCCTCTAGAGTTCACAATTTTTTCTGATTTTGATGAAACTTAAAACATATCTTTATATCCCAAAGATCTCAATCCCTTTTGATATTTGCACATTTCAGGCCATAACTGGAATATCTAGATAAGAAATCAGTGAAAACTAGGTGGGATTCTGCATTCAAAAATTTTATCTATTTTAATTCCACTTTAGACAATTTATATTATACTATGAAATCCGTCACAAGAACTTGAACTAATGATATCCAAACATTTAACATTTATTGAAAAAGTCTTCGCATACTGGATGCAAGAAGTTCATGCAGAAGCTGATCAACTGAGATAACTTTCTTTTATGATATCCAATTTGAAACCACCAAGTATAGTGTGTGCATCAGCTGGCTAAGTGTAGATTTTGAACATAATAAACCAGAGGTCTTATTCCTGTGCATATATCTTCCAACAATGACCAATAGCTCTTACATTGATTGTCAGGCAAATGTACTTCATAATTTCAAGATTTTCAAAAACATCACCCTTGCAGTATTTTGGTAGCAAATAGATTTTTCCTAAAACTTTGGACAGGCATGCCTACATGCATGTTTTACAATCCATGGTTATGTATTTCATATCTCGACTGCCTAATTTTAAGTTATGAGTAAAACCAAAGTAACTTTTTATACGCTCACATTAAAATGTGAGATACTTCCAATCAATAGGTAACACAAACCAATCTACAGACAGTTTGATGGAATCAGTTTTGACTTAAATCAAAATGATGCAATTGATATTCAGATCAGTTGATATACAATAATTATTAGAATACAATATCAAATAAACATTGTTTTATCCATCGTTTCGTTAGTAAAAGTAGTAACTTCTTCAGTTATGAAGAACTAAATGAAATGTGTTGTATGTTGTCCATTGTATATTGTACATTGGACGCTTTAGAGGCAAAAATTATTACCTGATTGATTTTTATACGCCCACATTTTCATGTGGACGTATATTGTCGTCGCCCCTGTCCGTCCGTCCATCTGTATGTCCGTCCGTCCACAATTGTTTGTGAACAGTCTACAGGTCATAATTTTTATCCGATTTCAATGAAACTTGAAATATAGGTTTATCACCCTAAGATCTCGGTTTCTTTCGATATTGGCATGTATCGGACCGTAACTTCATGGATTATGGCCCCTGATTGCACGAAAAATCACGTTCTTAGCTTGTGAACACTGTAGAGGTCACAATTTTTATCCAATTTGGTTTAAACTTGAAATGTATGCTTATAACCCAAAGATCTTGGTTACTTTCGATATTCGCGCAATTATGGCCCCTGATTGTACGAAAAATTGTGTTTTTAGCTTGTGGACCCTATAGAGGTCATAATTTTTATCTGATTAAAAAAAACGTATTATTATATCACCGTTACACCCTAAGGACGACTGAGTTCGAATTTCGTGAAAATCGGGCCAAAACTGACAGACAAAATGGCCGTCGTTCGTTCTCAAATAGCGTAAAAATATGGTATATCAAGGTTGTGGACCCTATAGAGGTCACAATTTTTATCCGATTTTGCTGAAACTTAAAAAGTAAGTTTATAACCCAGAGATCTCGATTCCTTTCGATATTCGCGCATATCGGACCGTAACTTCCTGAATTATGGCCCCTGATTGTACAAAAAATCACGTTTTTAGCTTGTGGACCCTATAGAGGTCATAATTTTTATCCGATTTAAAAAATCATTTTATTATATCACCGTTACACCCTAAGAACGGCTGAGTTCGAATTTCGTGAAAATCGGCCAAAAACTGACAGATAAAATGGCCGCCCTTCGTTCTCAAATAGAGTAAAAATATGGTATATCAAGGTTGTGGACCCTATAGAGGTCACAATTTTAATCCTATTTTGATGAAACTTGAAATGTAAGTTTATAACCCAAAGATCTCGGTTCCTTTCGATATTTGCGCATATCGGAACATAACTTCCTGAATTATGGCCCCTGATTGTACGAAAAATTGCGTTTTTAGCTTGTGGACCCTATAGAGGTCATAATTTTTATCCGATTTAAAAAATCATTTTATTATATCACCGTTACACCCTAAGAACGGCTGAGTTCGAATTTCGTGAAAATCGGCCCAAAACTGACAGATAAAATGGCCGCCCTTCGTTCTCAAATAGAGTAAAAATATGGTATATCAAGGTTGTGGACCCTATAGAGGTCACAATTTTAATCCTATTTTGATGAAACTTGAAATGTAAGTTTATAACCCAAAGATCTCGGTTCCTTTCGATATTTGCGCATATCGGAACATAACTTCCTGAATTATGGCCCCTGATTGTACTAAAAATTGCATTTTTAGCTTGTGGACCCTATAGAGGTCATAATTTTTATCCGATTTAAAAAAAACATATTATTATATCACCGTTACACCCTAAGGACGACTGGGTTCGAATTTCGTGAAAATCGGCCCAAAACTGACAGACAAAATGTCCGCCCTTCATTATCAAATAGCGTAAAAATATGGTATATCAAGGTTGTGGATCCTATAGAGGTCACAATTTCTATCCGATTTTGTTGAAACTTGAAATGTTAGTTTATAACCCAAAGATCTCGGTTCCTTTCGATATTTGCGCATATCGAATTGTAATTTCCTGAATTATGGCCCTTGATTGTAGGAAAAATCACTTTCGTTTTAGCTTGTTTTCTATCCATCTCTCGAAAATGTGGGGGTATCCTGCCTGGCAGCCGCTGGTAGATTTATACAGAGTGTTTATGGTCATGAGACTAAGAAGTTTATTGATTTTCAGCAATTTCTGATAATTACTGCCAGAGTTAAAGGTCACCGAAAAGCTTCATAAATTTTTATACGCCCACATTGAAATATGAGAAACTTCCAATCAATAGAAACGGGTAACACAAACCAATTACAGATGGTTTCATGGGATCAATTTTGACTAAGTCAAAATGATGCATTTGATATTCAGATAAGTTAATATACAATAATTAATAGAATACAATATCAAAAAAACATCATATACCCTTCAAAAAAAGTAGGGGATATTGAAATGCAAATACCTATGCAGGTTGTGATATGATAAATAGTCATGGACACTTGACATGCTTTGAGAGTATGTTCACAGATGAAGAACTTATCGCCCCAACAGAACCACTGAGCTGCACATGCGACACACAATAGGGCCATACATGTGTGAGGGGTTCATTGTCAAATTTGACACTTCAAGGAAGGGTTGATGAAAACTGCTGCGTGCTGGTTTGTCTATCCATGTTTGCTTTCCTATCGGTTCTTACATAAGATTTACTGTTTAGCGTATCTTTGCTTTAGTGTGTTACATTTAATTTGATCTTACGTTTAATTTGTTCGGGAGACGTCAACGTCAACCGACAACACTGCAAGAAATGTCCGTGGCACTGCAAGAGGAGTGAGTCAGATTGCCCCAAATCGTGATTGGACGGTTGATTAGGAGCATGCCACGATGAATTGCTGAATGCCTGAGGATTGGTGGAGCAATTACTCATTATTAAGACCAAAATCAAAAACTTCCATTTTCACTTTTGACAGTGTATCTCTTTGCGAGTGAAATGGGGCCATCAGATAAGCCGCCCGTATGAACTGTTTATGTTCATGTGTAGGCAATTGCAGTGTTGTCGGTTGACGTTGACGAACACGTCTCCCGACAACACTGCAAGAAGTGTCCGTGGCACTGCAAGAGGAGTGAGTCGGATTGACCCAAATCGTGATTGGACGGTTGATTAGGAGCATGCCACAACAAATTGCTGAATGCCTGAGGATTGGTGGAGCAATTACTCATTAAGACAAAAATCAAAAACGTCCATTTTCACTTTTGACAGTGTAGTGTATCTCTTTGCGAGTGAAATGGGGCCATCAGATAAGCCGCCCGTATGAACTGTTTATATTCATGTGTAGGCAATTGGCTTGTTATTTTTTAACATACACTGGTTACTTCTAATAAAAACAGCAGTGCATTTTCGCAGTTTTGTATTGTTTCTGAATATCCCCTACTTTATGTGAAGAGTATATATTGTCGATTTACATCGATTTCCAATAATTACTGCTAGAGTTATGACCCTTGATCACTTTGAAATATCTAATGGATGCTCTGGAGGGCAAAGTGAATATTCGTGCACATTAAACTGTAACTTCCTGGATTATCGCCCCTTATTGTAAAATAAATCATATATTTTAGCTTGTCGAACCTCTTGAGGTCACAATTTTTACCTGATTTAAAAAAATATTTTAATATATCACCGTTAGATCCTGATGATGGTTGAGTTCAAATTTTGTAAAAAGTGGACCGAAACTGCTGGACAAAATGGCTGCTACTTGTACGCAAATAGTGTAAAGGTATGCAATACCAAGATTGTAGACCCTCTAGAGGTCACAATTTTTATTCAATCTTGATGAAACTTAAAATATATGTTTATATCCAAAAGATCTCAGTTCCTTTCAATATTCATGGATATTGGACCATACCTTCCTGGATTATGGCCCGATTGTATAAAAAATCACATTGGGTTCTTTTAACTTGTCCTCTGTTCATTTCTTGTAAATTGTAGGTGTATCTTGCATGGCAACTGCTGGTATATTGAATCTCTTGCAAACTTTCTAGGGTAAGCTGCTATATTGTTAAGGATGTAAACTGTTGTTTGATTGGGTTGTAGCATCAACCAATGTAGCCAATGGAATCCTCACAGGCAGATAATTTGAATTTATGACTACCCTGTGAATGTACCCAGAGGTTAGTGGAGTAGAATAGCATGATACCACAGGAGATGCCTTACATAAGGGTAGTTCCAACAAGAAACAGAGATAGTACAATCCGATTCTCAATTATAGCTACTTGTTAATGTGATAGATAAAATTATGTTTGGTTTTCATTTATTTAGGTCCTTGTCAAGTTTGCAGCATCAAAAGGTTTTTCTCCAGAATGTTATGAACTAGTTACTAATTTTCCCAGACGACAGATTTCTCATATGGATATGTGTGATACAATAGAAAAGGCTGGACTCCATCCACAAGAAACAGTATTTGTTCAATCGAGATCATAGCCAATCATATTGATGTTGTTCATTCATTTCATTATTTATGTATAATCATTGATATCTATACATGGTTATAAATCATACAAAAAACATTTATATTATCTTGAAGCCTTAGATATACACTACAAACCTGATTACATCCAAATTAATTTACATTGAAAATTATACGAGCATTTCATTTGTTTTCGTTTTTATACACTCACTTTGAAATGTGGTTGTATATTGCTGTCTGATTTTTTTATACAGCCACCTTTTCATTTGGTTAAAAGCAAAGTCATGGGTATCACAAAACCATCTTTTATAGCATCTAACATTTCATAAGTGTAAAAACACAACTACACAAATGAAATTTGAAGCATAGTAACCAGGAAAGTCATAGTAACCATTGATGTCATAATGTTAATCTGACTAGTCGACAGTGATTTTTATAGAGGATGCAAACCATGTAAAGACCTAAATATAATGTGTGTGCTACTGTTGAAACTACCTGTATAGACTTAAAAACGTTTTATATCAAGACTAATTGTTTTATTGTTTTTTTATCAGATTTTAATGAAACTTAAAAAAATATGTTTACATCTCAAAGACTTGGGTTACTTTCGATACTTGCACGTATCGGACCATAACTTTCTGGATTATGGCCCCTATTTGTACGATTAATTGCATGCTTGTTAACTATGACATCATTTATTTATATTTAGCTTATTATTTATATAACATTATGACATCACTGGTTACTTGTCCTTCAAATTTGTGTAGTTGTGTTCTCTGATGAAGTAAGTTTTTATACACCACATTTTCATGTGTACGACGTCACTCCTGTCTGTCTATCCACAATTTGTTTATGGACACCCAACAGGTCACAATTTTTATCCGATTTTGACGAAACTTGCATTTAGGTTTATATCCTAAAGATCTTGGTTTCTTTAGAAATTGGCATGTATCGAACCATAACTTCGTGGATTATTGCCCCTGATTGTACGAAAAAGCTCATCAGGATTTTCCGGCGTGGTTCCCCCCTTGTCAGTGGTGCAGGACAGAGGGCCTGGCAAGGGATAGCATATAATCGTTCAGATGGGACGAAAAAATGAGGTCCAGTGTACACATGGGCGTGCATGTAAAAGATCCCTTGGCACTTGGAATTGAATGTAAGAGTAGGCCATAGTGTGGCTGTCCGGGCAAAACTTCCCTCACAGCACACTGTATGGCGTATGCCGTCTTCATTAGCCCAATTGGAGCAGAACAATAGGACGTTAAACACCATTTCAGTTCAGTTTATTGGTTGCGGATAGGATTTTAATCTTTTAGAGAGGCATTTAGTTACAGGTTAAAGCAATAAACTATAACACATACTATTTACTTTGGGCGAGTTTTCAAAGAGTATTCTCTTACCTTGGTCTAGCTATTTTTTTTCTGAGTTATTGCCCTTTAATTAGCTAAATTTGCTTGTCTGCTCTCTTGAGGCCATAATTTGTGATGAATCTTTTTCAAGACTATAGATAATGATTTGAGCTCAAATTTTGTTCCAGAGTTATGACTATATGCTACAACCCTTGTTGAATGCCAGGGCGACTCATCTGCCGTGGGGGGGAGGGTGTTGGATGGCTGAATGGTTAGCGTGCATGCGCTGTATCATAAAGTTTGTCATTGAGTCGACTGGCGTGGTTTCGAATTCCCGGTTGTACGTGACAAGGAGTAGGGTCGCCTATCCAACCTCGTGGGTTTTCTCTGGGTCCTCCGGTTTCCTCCCACTGCTAAAGACCCCTACGCGCAAGCGAATTATTGAAATAAAATAAAACCATTTGTTAGTCCCGAAATGACCTAGTTTGTGTCCAGTGGACGTTAAACCCCATTTCTCTCTCTCTCATCTGCCGTGGGGGTATGGTTTCATTGCCTGGCAACCTATCTTTAAACCTTAGGATAATTATTTTTATGAGCAGATGACATTTGGAATTGAAATTGAATGCAATTGCTATTTTTATTCCAGAGTTATTGCTCTTTAATTAGTGTAATTTTGCTTGTTCGCTCTCTAGAGGCCACAATTTGTCCTTTTGTACAAGCTGTTTTGAGACAAAGCTGCTGTGTGGTTTATTTCCACGCTTCATGCTTTGCAGAATTACAATATCTGATCAAAATTTTCATCTCTTAACATTGCACACATAACAAAACTTTCTTCATATTGAGTGTCTAACCTGGTTACAACATTAACATAAATGAGAAGAAAATTACTTATTGTGTTGGTGACAAGTAATATATTTAATATGTGTATCTTGTTTGTTAAAGGATTATATAGGTTATTTAATATAAATATCAATGAAATTAATCTGGAACCCCTATGCAACTGTATTTAGATTTATTATTAGAGCTCTAAGTATGATTATTTTTCTATATTTATTAATGTTTGATCATATTTATTCTCAGGACATACATTTTTAAGTGCTCAATACTTACATTCACTTACCTCAGGATTGACGGAAGATTATAATGTACAGCAAATAAATTAAATGAAATCTTGGTTGGTTTATATATATATATAGGATTCAATTTATATGTAACCCATTTTTATATTCCCGCAATTTCATGTGGATGTATATTGTCGTCGCCTCTGTCTGCCCGTCACAATTCTTATCTGATTTTGACGAAACTTGAAATATAGGTTTATCTCTAAAAGATCTTGATTCCTTTCGATATTGTCATGTATCGGATCAAAACTTCTGGGATTGTGGTCCCTGATAGTACCAAAAGATCCTGATTTTAGCTTGTGTACTCTCTGTAGGTCACAATTTTTATCCGATTTTAAAAATTGTTCAAATATATTACCGTTACACCTTGATGAAGATTAAATTCGAATTTCGTAAAAATAGGACCGAAAATGGCCGCTTGTGTAATACCAAGGTGTTTATATCCCAGAGATATCCGTTCCTTTCGATATTCGCGCATATCGGACTATTAGTTTATGTCCCCGATTATACGTAAAGATCACGATTTTAGCTTTTGGACTCTCTTGTTCACAATTTTTTTCCGATTTTGAAAAATGTTTAAATATATCAGTGTTACAAGATAAGGATGGTCAATTTTTATCCGATTTTGAAAAATGTTTAAATATATCAGTGTTACAAGATAAGGATGGTCAAGTTTCAAATTTCGTGAAAATCAGACTGAAACTGTCCGAAAAAATGGCTGCTCCATTAGGTAAATAGTGTAAAAGTATGTAATATCAAGGTTTAGGACCCTTGTGAGGTCAGAATTTTTATCTGATTTTGATGAAACTTAAAATGTATGTTTATATCCTAGAGATTTCGATTCCTTTTGATATTTGCGCATTTCGAACCATAACATTCTGTATTATATCACACCTTTTTTTTTAGCTTGTTTTCTGTCCATCTGTTGCAAAATGTGGGTGTATCTTGCATGGCAGTCACTTGTTCAACAATAACATGTAACGATTTCTAAAACCAATATGGGCCTTATTACTATTAGTGACATTTTGCCAATGTATTGAAAATTGCTTTAAAAAAAAAATGTCTATTATGTTCATATAAAACAACAGAAAATCAAATTCAGGACCATTCTTCCCACTTTTTCATGTGGACGTCTTGGCGTTGCCTCTGTCCGTCTGTTCAAATTTTGTTTGTGGACACTCTACAGGTCACAATTTTTATCTGATATCCAATTATGATGAAACTTGAAATATAGGTTTATCTCCTGAAGATCTTGGTTCCTTTCAATATTCGAGCACATCAGATCGTAACTTCTGGATTATGGCCCCTGATTGTTCGAAAAATCACATGGTTTAACTTATGGACCATCTAGAGGTCACAACTTTTATCCGATTTTAGAAACCATTCAAATATGTCGCCGTTACAGTTCAAATTTCGTGAAAATTCGAGCGAAACTGCCAAGCAAAATGGTCACTCCTCATACACAAATAGTGTAAAAGCATGTATATGTAATACCAAGGTTGTGGGCCTTCTAGAGTTCACAACTTTTATCTAATTGTAATGAAGCTTAAAATATATGTTTATATCCCAAATATCTGGGTTCCTTTCAATACTTGCGCATATCGGACCCTAACTTTCTTGATTGTGGCTCTAATTGTATGAAAAATCACCTTTTTTCAGCTTGTTTTCTGTCCATCTCTTGCAAAATGGAGGTGTATCTTGCATAGCATCACTACATTCTGTGATGGAAATAAACAAAAGTGTTGATATTGGAGAAAATTAAAGAAAAATGGATTTATACTGATTGAGAAGTGGTTTCAGATGAGTTATTTCCTCCTGTGTTTGATTAATATCTTGCTTATATAAACATAATACATAGCCAAGCTTTGTTTGTTTGTTGACAATTTTGAGCCTTATATATCTATTACAACAATTATACCAACTTGCCAATTTTTGACCATAGATTTATCAAATATTGTTTTTGTGTGTTTTTAAATGACTTCTCATAAACAGGGTTGTGTACTTGATAATTGAGCCTACTGTACATTTCCAGATTCCTTACAGAGTTACTTCCTTAAAACAGAGTATCTGAGAACCAGAATATCTTTTATAAAGCCTAAAATATATAGTTTGGGTTTTCCTTTTTAGGGGATTTGATATTTTGCTGATTATTATCAATGATATATAACAAATGTTTTACCTTATCTTCATGTGTATATTAATTATTTTGTATATATTATTAAACTGTTAAGTTGTTACCTATAAATTTTTTTATCTTTGAGTTTGACTTCAATGTTTAAAGAAGTCCCAGTTACAGTAATTTCCATCAATTACTTCTAGAGTTATGGCCCTTGTTTTACTTTGTTGAACCCTGTGAATGTTCAAATGACAAAAGTTATCATTCGATGTGTATGAAATTTATATGCATTATTTTAATTAGTAAAACGAAAAAGCCAATTGTTGTACATAACTTCCAGAGTTAAGGCCCTTGTTTCAGTTTCTAGAGTCCTGTGATCCCTCAAACGATGAAAATGATAATCTGATCTGTATGAAATTGTCTTGTAAATGCCCCCAATTACCTGCAAAATAATAAATATGTGACAACCCTTGTCCCACATCGGATGATATATCACTGTTAGACCTTAATGACGGATGAGTTCGAATTTTGTGAAAATAAAACAGAAACTGTCTGACAAATGGCCACTTCTCGTACGCAAATAGTGTAAAAGTAGGTAATACCAAGATTGTGGAGTGTGGACCCTCTAGAGGTAAGAATTTGTATCCGATTTTAATGAAACTTAAAATATATGCATCTTTTCAGTATTTGTGCATATCATTACGTAACTTTTAGCTCTTGCAAAATGTGGGTGTATCTTCCCTGGCCCATGTTCGAAAGGGAGTCAATATGAAGGTCGTTGTGAACAACGCTAACCAACTGTGACATCGACTTTTAAAATTATTGTGTGGAGGTCATCTTCTCAGCTTTCATCCCAGACATTACTTTATAATGACTATATAAATAAAAAACATTTTTCATAGAAATTAGGGATTGCCTGCAAATTAGCACTAATCTTTGATTACAATATACATTTTTTCATACAGAGTAATAAAAAAGAATGTTTAATGACTTTTTATTGGTATTATAATTTGTTAAAACTGATTTAAATATTTTTTCAAAAATTATAATGAATTGGATTTGTGTTCGATACACTTAATTTACCTCTTTTGATGCTATAAAATTTGAGGCTTGTCATATTCGAAATATTTATATGTGCCATGAAATGTAATTGACCATTACATGATTTTTGGAATATAATTAATTACATTTCCATTACTTTTGAAATCTTTCATTACTCATTAATTACATGGCCATTACTTTAAAAAAAAAGAAGCAATAATTACATTCCATTACCCCAGCCCTGGTCGGAATCCGTCTTATTGTCTTGTTATTCGAGTCTAAATAATCAACAAACAGAATGGCTTCTATCAGATAAACGTATCTCTCGCCAGGTCGGTAAAATGAAAAGTGAAACATATAGGCCTGCAGCCAAATTTTTTTATTTAGCCTTGAAGTTCCGCTACAAGGTCCTCCCTACTAAACATTTTTATGTCAACTTTACAATTGTTAGTATAAATATAGCATTTACTTGACAATTATCACAATTTTCATCTGGCCCTCAATTGTGTTATTGCAAACATTTTGCTTGCAACTCTCTGGATTTGTGTACCGGGGCCCTGTTTCACGAAATCTTAACTAAAGATAAAATCCAAATTTTAGTAGATACTTCAGTTTTGATTGGCTAAGCACTAAAATCAATCTAATATTATCCAATCAAATTACTGTAATTTGGATTTTATCTTAGTTAAAATTTCGTGAAACCGGCCCCTGGTGTTATAAGCTTTCTAATATGTAGAGTTTGTTTAGTTGGGAGGACCTTGTAGCGGAACTGTGTTTCTAAGCAAGCTAGAAATTTTAGTTAATACATTATGCAAAAGCTAAATCTTTCTATTGCAGGTATTTCATTAGGCCTGAAATGTTATCTAAATTATTAAATAGACATTAAACATACATTATGCAAGAGCTAAATCTGATTATTGCAAGTCTTTATTTAGACTTCAGATGTCATAGAAATTATCGGTAGGTCTTTATTTACACAACAAGAACAAAATCAACTCTGTAGATCCAAGGATGGCTTGGATTTAAACAGGATTTCATTGATTGATTATATTTTTAAATGGCGTCGTAAGCGGAGATTAACCGTTACGTTGACATCATACTCCCTGAAATTTTAGATCGAGGCTAAATGATAAGAGTGTACGAAGCGAGGCCGCATGTCAGTCAATTTATTGAAAGTTTGATATTATGTTTACGGGGTAGTTGTGGTTAAAATGAGAGTTTGGATGTCGGTATTATACGCTCTTTTGGATCACTGTTTCCTATTTGTCTGCTTCGGGAGTTTCGTAGGCCTATAGTTACAGTACAAGAGTACACGAAGGCTAACAAGAAGTCGGCTATAATAATGCCTCATTGATTTGGTCTGTTCCTTTCAAACTTTCGCTTCTTATCTATATATTAAAAGTCTTATTTTTAATTTGTAGTAAAAATAAATGTGATACAAACCGAATATGCTACCGGTACCACAGCCATTGAAAACGTTACTTGATAATCAAGATTATGTAGGTGGAGTTAACGCCTGTCAATCAAACGGTCGGCCATTCTCGGAGACGGTGAAGAGAGAGTTGACTCCTATTTTTAGTCAAAAATTACAATGCTGATAACTTTGTTCAGAATAAAGTAATTTCACTGAAATTTTCAATATATTCTTCTTTCATCATCTATTTTTGAACTGTTATAGCAAGAATGGCCAACTCTCTATTAAAATCTCCCATAATGTATCTTTAAGTTATCCAGATCATAATCAACTCTTGATGTCATCGCTAGCCTGCGATATTTAGCAGATTGGATTACATTTTTTGTGAAATTATTAATCGCAAAAATGGATAATCGAGACTTGCCCAAAATTACTTCATGGAATAAGTTTCCATATAACATCAGGTCCTGTAATAATGTTAATTATTCTTATAAATTATTAGATTGCAACTGTTTTAATCCATTCTAAATTACAGCTATCCAAAGTGAGTTGATTATGGGCTTGTCATGTGAATAAATGCCTAACTAATAATTTATATAACCTTTGAAGCCAAAACAAGACTCCCATAGACAGATTTTGCTCTTACATAATGTATCTTTAAGACTATTATTTTGGCATGTCTGGTAAACAAAAAACGACCCTGCATTGAATTCATAAAACTAATATGTATTTTTATAGAATAAAAAGCACTATAACGATGTTGAAATGATGAACTGGTTGTTATTTGTGTTCACACGCTGATCTATAAATCTACAGCATTACATAGTGTTTGTCTTAATCTTATAGACGCAGGGGTGGATCCAGAGGGGGCGGTTTGGGGGGTACAACTCCTTGTACTTTATCCTTTTTCATCATCAGACGGTACTATGATGGATGGTCTTCTGACAAGCTTAGTCCTAATGAATGTTAACTATACTTTTGAGCTAGATATTGATGACATTATTATAGAACAGTTCATCCAAAAAACATCCATACCTCTTATTCTCCCCGTCATAATTGTGGAAATCTTTACTTTAGGCTCTTGTATTTGAGAAGGAAAAAAAAAAAAAAAAAAGTTTATGTGATGAATTTTCTTCATATTTTGGTGTTTGACAGTCTCAGTCGCCGTCTTCATTGGCCCAGTTCGGAGCAAAACAGTAGGACGTTAAACCCCATTTCATTTCATTTCAGTCTCGGTCGGCTTTTGCTGTTCTATTATGCTTCCTTAAAGTTTCCTGTCAAAGTTGTGCAGAACTTATTTTATTGCAAATAGGTACAACTAAAATATAGTGTAGTAGTTACATTTACTGGTATTTAGTATGTTTTTAGGTAAAATCCTAGTTTCTGTGTTTTGTCAAAGTGACCTCGGATATAAGCCCACATGATGACAGAGCCCACGTATTTCTCAAAATACACTGTCTCAGGAATCTGGCATACCCCCTCCTGCAAAAATTCCTGGATCCGCCCCTGATACATTCATATATTATTAAATCAACTTTAGTACTCTGACAGTATAATATTCAATTACAACAGTTCTACTATTTTAAATAAATATTAGGTTATCTATATCAGTTCAGCATTAATTCTATATAATTATATAAAACTGCTATTATAATAAATATACAATAGCGGTATTCATGTTATAATGTACCTTATAATAATAATAATAATAATAATATCACATAATTAGCATTGATATGTATTAATAACTATTCTTCATCAGTGCAATAATATATAGTAATCTCCAATAATAATGTAATGATGACAACCTTTTTATTCAGTCGTGTGTATTTTTCATGAAAACTAAAATCACTGAAATGGATGCTAAGTTAAAATTGATTTTAAATGGAATTGTTGTTAGGTATAAGGTATCTGTTTATTTCTTTGATCTTTTAACCTCACATTCAATACAAAAGTACAGCATAATTTTTTGCCCAAACCCATTGTTTTATTAGATGAATAAAATGTTTAGATTTGAAAAAGCAATGAAACATACACCCACAGCAGGAATTCACAATCAATTTCAACAAAACTTGTTTTGAAGGAGTTTTCTATATCAGAAAAATGGGCTGAACAAAATGGGCTATGGGGACACTCTAAAATTTGAGTGTTTTCACCATTGGGTATTGTGCCATTTTGAATAAATTAATATTAAAGATGCTTTATGTAAGAGCTAAATCTGCCTATTGTAGGTCTTTTTGCTGACTTCAAATGTTATATAAATTATTATTTAAAAGTTTATTAACATGACAAGCTCATAATCCACTCTTTGGACCAATATTAAGGAGATTGGAATGCCTAAGCAATATTAAGTAGATTAGAACACCTTAGCCATTTAAAATTTTAACGGTAAAATAGACAAATTTTAAGAGCGGCCCCAAGACCATTTCTTTTAGCAGTTACCACATTTGTCTGATATAGAATATAGAAAACCCCTTCAAAATAAGTTCTGCTGTAATTGGTCTAGCATTCCTTATACTTTCCTCTACTAAAAGGTACTCTCAGGCATTCAGCAGAAGGTCATTTCTGCAATAACAGCAGCAGTCAGCAATAACAAATTTTGTGATTGGTACATTCCTACATATATTTCTTGATATAAACTTGGTCCAGGTTAATTGGTTCTAGTA